AGGTTCTCTGGACAGCCCATAAGATGGAAGGCAGTGACAGCAGGCTGTCCACCGAGTGATTTGAGTTGAAACAACCTCAAGATGTCAGCAGTCTGGCTCTCATCCAGAGAAATATTGCTGATGGCGCTACTGATGGCGTTGACAAGTAGTGTGCCGCCTTGACGCCAGATCTGGGACTCCCACAGATGCTCATCAATGGTTCTTCGTCTACATGCATGGACAACTGAGGCCAGACGGTCCGGCGTTTTGATCCGCGGGCGGCTAAGGGAAACGCGGAATGTTTCTTGAAGTTCGATGAGGGTAAGATCTGAGGCAGAGAGTATGATATAGCGAAGAGCTTTGATTAGTTCTGTTCGAAGAGTATCAGGCTCTTTTTGGGCAGCTGATTTGATATCAAGCTGGCAGCCTAAGATATCGACTTGTAGGGAAAGAGGGGAACAGGGAGACGATTATTTCTGAAGAGCCATAGTGAGTACGATATGGAAGAGCTTTTGAAACGCTATACAGTCAATTTGAATCTTTGACTGAATTATAGTAGACAAATCTTGCTACTTGTTATCATTTGACAAAGCCAATTATGTATAAGTGTTATGTTTAGGACCCCTGAATATTAACATATGTCAAGATTCTTTACAGGACCCAGATGTGCCCGACAATGAGCCAATCATGTCGGGAGGCCCACTTAGTGGGAGTACACTCTTGATCCCTACTGGCTTCATATCACCGTGAGGTCTTGTCCTGTTTGCTAGCCAGATACCATGAGATAATGGCCATTACATCTTGGTTTATCCTAGTCTAAATCAATACATACCCTTTTCTTCGTCAGTACACAGCTTTACGGCGTCTATGGTCTAATCATCGCGTTTTGATTCTTTTGAGCGTGCAAGATTTCGACTCAGTTGCTTCATCTCGCATTTGAAAATGTCTTCAGCCTCTGTTACTGGACTGCATCCATGTACCGAAGATGGGGAAAAGAGCCTGAAATCTATGATTCCGCGGCTTCTAGTCGGCAGCATGGATGAAAAGAATACGATAATACCAAAAGCTCTCCTCACTAACGCACACGAGGTTGCGTCTGCATACGACCATGAGGGGGAATGGAACATGGCGGAGAATGTATAGATAGTAGCGTTTATAGTCTTGAAGGAAGAATTAGGTAAATTATATCCCTCTACTCTTACTTATATATCTAATCTCGCTAGGTGGTATTAATAACTAGGAAAGTATAATATAGCAGAATAATTAGGTTTAAAAGCTATAATAATGAGGATAGATATTTTAAGAGATAAGTATCCTTACACGCTTTTCTCTATATCTAACTTAGCTATATTATACTAATATTAAGGTCGTTATAATATAGTAAAAGAGCTCTAAGTGCTAGTAGTAGCTACTATAAAGAAGATATTAGGTGAGGAGGATCCTAAAGTACTTATAAGTAAAGTAAATCTAGCTATAATATACCTATATCTTAATTAATACTATAAGGCTAAAGAGATAGAAAAGAAAATTTTAGAGGTAAGAATAAGGATACTAAGTGAAGATTATACTAAGACGCTTACCTCTATAGTAGATTTAGCCTCTATCTATATAGAGCAAAATAAGTATAAGGAGGTAAAGGTACTACTTCTATAAGTTATAGATATAAAAAAATAAAACCTAGGACTAAGATATCCTGAGATACTTATATCTATAAGTAACTTAGTATTACTATATCTCCTATAAGGCAAATAGAAGCCTATAGAGTAATTATAGAGGTCTATAATACTAATAATAATAGAGAAGTTAGGTAAAGGCTATCTATATACTCTTATATATATAGCTTTATTAGCTATAGTATATAGAAACTAAGGCTAGTACTAAGTAGTAGAAGAATTACTAAATAAAGTTATTTAGATAAGAATAATATTATTTAGTATAGAGTATATAGGAACTCTCTCCTTAATAGAGAAATTAGCCTTAGTACTTATAGAATAAGGCTAATACTAGGAGAGTAAGAAGCTTCTAAAGTAAGTAATAGAGATATATAAAAGTCACCTAGGGAAAGAGTATCGTAATATACTTTAGTTAAAAGTAAATCTTACTCTTATATATAATAAATAAGGCTAATATAAGGAAGTATAGTAAGTAGGCCTACTATTAGTGAAAATAATAAGTAGAGTGCTTAAAGAGGATTATCTTAATATATTATCTACTATAGGTAATCTAGCTTTAACCTATAACTATTAAGGTTATTATAGGGAGGCAGAAGCTCTATAAGAGCTAGTAATATAAGGGATAATGAGAATCCTTAGCGATAAGTATGTTTAAACACTTATATCTATAGTGAATCTAGCCTTAATATATTATAAGCGGGCGAAGTATAAGGATGTAAGAAATATTTTAATGGAGGTCCTGGTTAAGGGAGCTAAAGTCTTTGATAATATATATCCTATAAGGCTTTCCTAGTTAAATAATCTTATAGTCTATCTTTAGGAAGAGGGGCAATTTAAAGTAGGGTTTAAATTAGGGGAAAAAGTGATAGCTATAAGTAAAGAAAAGTTAGGGGATAATCACCCTAATACCCTTATCTAACTGTTAAACCAGGCTATAGTATATAATGGCTAGGGTAAACGAAAGATAGTAGAAGAACTTATGGCCGATGTAGTTCAGAAGTGTAGAATCAACTTGGCCGAAAGCCATCCTTACACCTTAATAAGCATGTTCAATCTAGCTCTAATATATATGGGACAAGGCGCGTGGCATGTGGCTCAGGGAATCTGGGTATCAATTGCAGAGCTAATGAGGACGGTGCTTGGGGAGGAACACGAATGTACCATTCGATGCACGAGCTATCTCGCCCTGATTAACAAAATGACTAACGATGAATCCGAAGTCGACTTATCGCCTTAGGTCGCCGCGTTCAAGTATGTAGGAGGGATAGTGTGAGCAGGGTGGGGGTGGACCTTATCAGTGAATTTTCATATGTACATAAATAGGTTACATTTTCCTTCTTATTTACAAAGCCAGAGGGATAAGTATTCTCAATACATAACTCTTATGTTGCCCCCAAACGCGTGCCTGGACGGGGTATCGCAAGGCAAAGTCTACCTAGGCACAAGTAGAAGTACGGCCAACTCGAAATACGTACACGCATTTAATCACAGCCATCTTTTTTTTTGCTAGTAACAAAGATCACGGGCTTATGTTTGGGACTAACGCTGTGCTCTGGGGTGATTGAATTAAAATGATTTTGGTACATTACAGGTATCCATAATTTCTCTATTGTTCTCGGGTCTATCTTCGTCTGAAAAATCATAGAAAGGCGAGTTGTCATAGACTAGGATACGTGATGCAGGTGACATATGGGTATAGTATGCCCATATGTGTATAGGAGGCTGCGAGAAGCCTTGAGTCTGCATCCGTGGGCAAGGGTATTATAAGGAACGCATTATCCGGCAAATATCCGATGCTCCGCGGATTATTGCTGATCCGCTTTGCCCCGCCTTCTAGCGCCTAAAAATAGGATCTAAGCCATCTTCTAGTACCTTAGTTACTAGTGTTACTATTATAAACATTCTTTATTCCTGCTTCCTGCTGAAATTCTATTAGTACTTCTAAACCTTATAACTAATATATAATTTACCCTCTATTAGCTATAAGTTATAAAGACACTATTACGTAGAGGTCACTACACGCTTATTAGTAATCTTTATCTCCCTTTTTAACTCATTTTATTAAAGACTATACTTCTAGACTAGCTTAAAGAACTAGATCTTAGTCACTACCTAAGCGTTATCGTAGTAATAAAGCTAAGGAATTAATCGCTAATTTTAACACTAATATAAAGTGTTAAAAGTAACTTACTCTAGAAGTAAGGCTTAAGGAGGATAGATAAGCACTTTTATTAGCTCTTAAGATAAGACCTAATACTCTTCTAACCCTATAATATACTCTATAGGTATTATATTAAAGAGCCTAATGCTATATATAGGAGTATCTCTATAGTCCCTCTAATAGTATTTATACTACTAAAATTTATAATAAATACTATATTATACTTAAATAGGATAGCTAATCCCCCTCTAAATATTATTATATTTAATATATAGAATATATAATACTCTTAGTAACCTTAGCTTACTCTTAGTTTAAACTTAAGGGAGAGTGTATATAGAATCTTATAGTAGGCAAATAGATGGAATACTATAGTTATATAAATATTAAAAAGATTATAGTATATATAGATAGGGTAATTATATTTTCTTAATAGTATAGATAGATAATTAATAAGATCTCTAGGATTAGCTTATACTACTAGGCCTCTTATATATTAGATCTACCTCTCTATAGCTATCTAGAATTTCCTAAGGGCCTAAAGGTACTAATACTAAAGGATTATATTATTAATAAAAGCTATAAATTATAGGATATAATCTATTACCTATATATATATAAAGAGTGATTATTTTATAATAATAGTCTACTATAGAGGTTTAACTCCCCTAAAGATCTAGAGACTAATATTAAGGAGAATTTAAATATTAGAGCTATTATTCTAAAATAATATCTACCTACTATTTAGTAAATACTAAACCACTTTATTAGCCTAACTAAGGTATTAAGTATACTTAGCTAGTCTAAATTTGTAAATGAATTAGACTACTTCCTAATACCTCGCTATATATACTATATAGTATATAATAGATATCCTCTAAAATAATAAGGCTTTTAAGAAAAAAAAAGAAAAAAAAGATAGATTAATTAATTAGCTAATCTTATATATATATAAAATGTGCTACTCTTCTAGATTGTTTCTAGATAAAGTGCACTATAAGTGAATAGAAGAGGGAGAGATAGACGACTAATTAATTAAGAATTCCATGCAGGCGCAGTTATTCATACGACCATACGAATAGCCGAAGCTCAGCAGATCATTACTAACCCGCTTTGCCCCTAGTGCCACTGTTGCGCCCATGAATAGATTCAAGCCATCTTCTTGTACCTCAGTTGCTGATCGTCGCTTATGCCAATGACGCATTGGGTCTAGCACGTAGACACATAGCTACAATAGCAGCATCTGTCTCCCTTTCCCGATTTACATCTCCTACGTATCCGACCTTACCATCACCAACTTGCGCAAATGCGATTGCTGCCTCCGTCAAGTCTTGAACCTTCTCAGAAGGGAACACAACTGACTGTGTGAAAGATCTCTGGTCGGGGCCATAGAGAACTGCTGCTGGTTCCACGCCCTTAAGGAACAGAGCCTTCATACTGAATCGAGTGGAGAGGTCTGGTACCAGAGTGGTAGCCAGTTCAGAATTGAGCGCGACGTCAGTGCGATGGTAAGCACCAGCCTGCCAGGTCAAGCCAGCCCTGGCAAAAAAAGGCCCGATATCGTTGGGTTTGGCAAAGCTGCTGAAATCGCCCATAGCAATGGCGGTTCCACCCTGGCGAACGTAAGATAGTATCGCATACCACACGTGTATGTGTGAAGAGCGTTGGGTGAGGGTAGCGTCGGTAATGAGCACAGCACTCGGTGCTGGGTTTTGCTGCAGCAAATCGAGGGCGGCAGCTGGCTCCTTACCCCATTGGATATCAGCCTGAGCGCCGAGGTCGGCAAATAATGCGGTAAAGTCGTCGTCGAAAAAAGATAGATGTTGCAACGAGACAGCCACAATGCGGGGTATCATCTTGGTCGCGGTAGACTAAAACAAGTCGTGAAAAACATAGGACATCGATGGCTCGCATATGGTCTTGAACCGGCTGGACATTTTGGCTGTTCCCAAAAATTGTCAAACAAATATGGTTGGCCTCCTGCATTAGTGACTAAGCAATTGCTAGGGGTTTGGCTAATGGGCATACTGCTCCCTTTCCGTAAAGTTCCGACAGTTCAGCCCGTATGTCAGACTAGAATGGTGATGATGGTCACGTGAAAAAAAACAATTAACCAATCAGGAGTGAGGCTCAGAGCATCTAAGCAGTCGATGATTGGCTGGGAGTTGTCACTTGATGCTCGATAGGATATCGAACAGGAGAGGCAAGCCAGTCGTGGTTTGCGCAAAGCAGCCTTGAGGAACGAAGCTGGCTATGGCCATTTTCCATTTCTTTTATCGCCTCTGATCACTGTCGCCGAATTCGAATCTTATGTGTGGCTAAAAAAACCTTGTTTGCAGTAGCGTCATTCTGAGAGACATTCCCGAGCGGTGAACGAGAGAAGGGACTAAGCAGTGGGCCCGCTGCTTCTGCCTCTGTTAGGCACAAGCCCTCCTGGCAAAGCTTCGTTAACCACAGGTTATCCCCATGAACTAAACATGATTAATTAACTCGAAATCTAGCAAGAACCCATTTCGCCCTGTGTTGTATTGTTAGTGGTCTCAGATGATTTGTCGATACGGTCGTTCATGCTCAATACATGTAAAGTTTACTGCTGCTGTACATATTCAATTCGCTGTAAGTCAAAAATTGCAGAAGGCGCTTCGCCGTGCTTAGATGATTCGGATGTATTCGTTGCAAAATTTGTGCATATGTCGCATCCAGCGTCTCAGGCAGGTTTTGTAGTTCTCTCCGCACAGAAGGCGGGTCTAAACATCGCTCCAATGTGTCAAATTGGCATGAGACTTAATGGAACCTATGAGATATTTAGCTGCTGAATCGGAGACAGAAGAATTGCAACTATAGGGGGATGGAATACTAGAGAGGACTACGTATATTCCATCTACCTTTTCTAGGAGGGTAGTTTCAATCTCTGCTTAGATATCTAGCTGTTTCTTCCATCTCGGCATTTCGCCAACTCTGGCCTTCGTATAGGCAGTGATATCATCACTCACTAACTGACTTTGGAGTTGAATGATTTTATTAGTATGGGCCCAGCCGTTGAAAGATTTAGTAACTACATTAGCACAGCTTTTGCCCCATCTATTTGTAATCAAGACCCACCAACCTACAAAGACCAATGAAACTTTAGGTGTTCCGCAAGCAGGAACATGTCCACCTAAGACACGACGCCGCAAGCAGCACTCGAGTAGTCAATGATCGCGAACTAAATCAATTGACTGGAAACTTAATGCCCCTCTACCACCTAGTAAGCTGAGTTGCTGTCCGTTATCTAGAGAGGGATAGTGTGAGACCTGAATATTATCTAGAACCTTATTAAGCTGTATATATTATTTCTTTCTACTTAGATTATTAAACTTTTCCGCTATTATATTTAAAGCTTAAATTAACTAATACTATTTTTATATATTAGGGATAAGGGTTAAATGTAATTTATTAATCCTATTCTCCGCTGTAAGAAAAGTTATATGCTCTATGTCTTACTATCGCCACTAAGTATTAATAAGGCCTGCCTTATATCTTTAAAATACCTTTAGAAGTCATCTAAGTTTAGTAACTATATAATTTCCTACGGAGTATAAACTTATAATATCTATAAGTATATTATATATATATGGTCCCTAGTTATAGAGGTGGCTTTATTTAGTCACTTTAAGATAGGCTCCCTTTTCTAAAATGTAGTAGTTCTTAAGAAAGTCTCTACTAAAACGGAAATAAAGGAAGCTATATATATATACCTTTATATAGATAAGTATAAGCCTATAGTAATTAAAGCTATATTAGAGTATCTCTATACTAATATTTATACTTATTTAGACTCTACTACTAGCTAGGCTATTTTCTATATAGATATTAATATAGTTACTAATTACTATTAAATTAATAATCTCTTAAAGCTATTTAAAGATAATCTCAGGGACTTCTTAAGTATATTAATATATATAGATTAACTTCCTATTATTATTAAAGTAGCTATAGAAAAGTAAGTTAATTAAAAGTTATAGTCCTTAGTTATATTAGCCTTAGTAAGATTTATAGAATTACTTATTAATAATCTAGACTTTATATTATTAGATCTTCCTAATAATTTTAGAAATCTTATCTTTTAAGTGTGTATATCCTGGATTACCTATATAAAATTAGTAATAGCTAAAGTCTAGGCTAAGCTTAATATAAGCCTTTAGTCTTATAATTTAGTAATTAGGAAATATTAACTTCCTGGGCTTGAGAAATAGCTTGCCCTTAGATAACCTTGCTCCTAAAATATAAATATGTCTTAAGCTATTAGCTATTGTAGTATGATTATTGAATATTTAAGTTATAGAATAACTTATTATACTATCTACTATAATATAAATAGGATTAAAGAATAGTAGCTAGCTTACTATTAGTCTAGCTAATATTAATAGGAAGGAATAGAACTAGAATTATATAATATAATAAAATATATAGGGTAATAACTCTATATAATTTATACTAAGATAATATAAAGGAGGATTAGAGGTTAATAATATATTATTAACCTTATTAGAGTAATTATTAGTTCTTATAGAGTGAAGGTTATATAAGATATTCCCTAATAGTAAGTAGTAGGTATATCTTACCTATTTAGAATTAGCTATTAGGAGTTATAAATATACTATATTAAAGAAATAATATAATAGAAGTTAATTTAATATATACTAGCTCCTTAATAGTTAAGTTAGTTAAAATAAAGATACTATATCTTATATAGGTGGCTATAGGGCCTTTTTATAGAGTCCTTATTATTATTACTTATCTTTCCTTATCTATAACTCTTTATTACCTTTTTAGAAACTCTAGCTTCTTATATAAGCTAAGTAGTCTAGCTCCTAGTCCTCTTACCTCCTTTCTATTAATATATCTTTAACTTCTTTTACTCCTTAATTAACTCCCTTATACTTATATAATTCTCCTCTAGCTTATAAGTTAGCTTTTAGTCTACCCTATAGTATTACTTACTATTAATTATCTTTTTACTTATAATCTTAATAGCTTTCTACTTACTTTTAGATATTTTATCTACTATTAGAGGAGGGGTAGGAGGCTTATCTATAGCTAGACTTATATTAGTACTTTTATTCTATATCTCTATATTACTACTCTTAAGATTAGCCCTCTTAGTACTTATTTTAGTAATAAGAGCTAGGTATAATACTTTAATAGGGGGGATTATTAAAAAATCAGTAGTTTTACTATATATAGGAGTAGGATCTAACTTAACCTATATATATAATAACTCTTTAGAGAGCTAATTATTATCTATATCTTTCCTAATAATATTGATCGACTTATTAGCATCGCTATTAGCAGGTGCTAAAAGAGTCTAGTCTAGAGACTATAGAGGCTTACTACTATTAATACTATAATCTGGATTTATATCTTTATTAATAATAATAGTATAATTTATAGTCTTTTATTAGCTCTATCCTTTTTAAGGTCTAGAATAGAATTAGTATATACCCTAAGTCTTACTACTACTTTTAATATTACTATCTATCTAGATATAAGAGGTTAAACTAGTTATATAGTCTAGCGAGGTGAAAGTGCTAGGCACACTTGACCTAGTGCTAGTGTTGCTGTTTAGCTAGTTAGCTTTTAATAGCTCTTTAATTAATAGGAGCTTATTAGGTGAGCTAGGAGTCTTATCTATTTTCACTTTAGTTAGTATATAACTTATTTCTATACTAAATCTATTTCTTATACTAGTGATTTCTTTAATAGTCTCCTTAGTATACTAAGAAGGCTATATTATATTAAAATCCTTAACTATATTTAAGGTCTAGATATAGTTTTAAGGTAAAGAAACTATATATTATTACCTCTTTAACTTTTATAGTATAAGCTATAGAGGTATATATATTCTAAATTCAAAAGCTATTATAAGAATCTTAAAAATAGGTTATAGGCGGATTTAGGCTAAGAGCTAAGGTATTTTAGATTAAAGTAGTGTGATATACTTATTCTAGTATAGAAGTTGATAGTAGATATAAAGCTAGTGTACTGTTTGACGGAGGGAGGGCCTCCTTTTATAGATAGATTCCCTTCTTTGCCCTCCCCCCTCTCTCCCCCTCCTCTATTATTACTATAGCTAAGGATATAGACCTTAGGTTATTTACCTGAAAATAAATTATAGCAAAAGCAGGCTCCTTAGATTCCTTCCCCTAGCTTTCCTGGGTCAATTATAATATTACTACTTAATATAATAAGATAAGCCTTATATAGTTAGTGAGATTAAGGGGCTTAACTAACTATATATTAAGGCTTAACACTCTTAAGACTACTTAGGTATTAGGTTAACTAATGTAAGTATATAACTAGATATAGTAGATAGCTTAGCTAGTGGGTTTATTCACTCTATATAGCGAAGTAGTAAATATCTTGATTCTATTCTCGCGTTATCCTATATATAGTTAACTTATATATAAGATTACCCTTTAACTAGCTTGCTCACTCCTCTCGCTATATGCTTATATACCTCTAATATAATAATAGGTAAATAGCTTTAAAAAAACATTAAAATTAAAATAGTTCTTTATAGGCCTAGTATTTTAGCTAGTAGCTAGAGAATAATATAGTAGGAATATATATATCTCTTTCTTATCCTATAGTAACTAATATAGAGGTACCTTACTAGCCCTATTAGGCTATAGTATTAAGGTATATAGCTATATTATCCTTTAGTGTTTTAAGGATACTATTAGAAAGAATAGTATTATTATAGGCTAGATCTAATATAATAAAGCTAGAGCTTAGTATATTATACCTTAGCTACTATAGGTAAGATACTATTATACTCTATTTAGGATATCTAGCTAAGTCTAGAACTACTAGGTAATTATACTTAAGGTAGATTTAATATTATTAATAGTCTAAAGGAATCTATAATATATAAAAGTTTAATAGCCTATATAGAGCTAATAATAGTACCCTCTTTACTTAGTAATAATAATAATAATTATTTACCTCTATAAAACTTATATTACCCTATCTTAGCCTTAGTACTATCTTCCTAATATATATACCTTCTAACTTAGGTAAAGGAGTTAAGATAATAGAGAATTATTAACTATATAGCTACCCTTAGATTAAGGAAACTAAATATAAGGTAGAGGCTGAAATAAACTTTTAGCTAAGCCTAGTAGAACTAAAAATACCTTACTTCCTTATAGCTAACTCTATCCCTATCTAAGCTTATATATCTTACGCTAAGAGCTAATAACTCTCACCTATAGTTCCACTTAAGAGGTAACCTATTAACTCTAATAGTATATAGATAAGATAGCTAATATATTACACTACTTAGCTACTTAATATATAATCTTAGCTAATACTAGCTACCTAAAGATTATTATACTACCTTTAGTAATAACTTTTAAGATACTAGTATAGCTATAGAGTAATATAATATTAAATATTTAAGAGGGTTATTACCTTATAAGTAAAAGTAGAATAAAGGAGGCCTCTAGTATAATATTAAGAATATTAAATAAATAATAACTATAGAAGATAGAGATAGTTTATAGCTTAAATAGCTAATAAATATAAATATACTATTTATATTATAGTTAGGCTAAGGTTAGTAGGTATATAATAGTAATACTAAAAAATAGGAGGGAAAAAGAGACTATAGAGGTATATAGTAGTAATAGCGGGGGACTAGCTACTTTATAGGCGGCGTAAAAGCAGTAAGTAATAATAAAGCTAAATATTTCCTAATATAGTATTTACCTAAATTAGTAGGCTTAACCTACTATTTCTAAAGGTAGGTAAGCTATTATATCTTTTACTTTACTAAAGTAAAGTTAGTTATTATAAATTACTAAGGTAGGTCTAATTAATCTACTTTATATATAACTTCCTATAGCTTAATAAAAGCCTTTATTTATAATACTAATATAAAGTAAACTAATTATAAAGTAAGCTAGATTTAAGGTAAGTTTAGCTTATAAGGTAAGTTAAAGAATACTAAAGAGATTACTTTAAAAGGTATAATAAAAGAGGTAGGCTTTAAGTAAAAAAGAAAAGCTTTATTAATTATAAAATAGTTAAGAAAATAAATTATAAAGTAGATAAAAGAGTAAATTATTAGCTTAAAGAATCTCTATTTAGTAAAAAGAAAGCTTTATACTTATAAGTATTTTAAAGCTTTAAGAGCTTTAAAGATAATATATTATCTTTTATAATATAAGCTTATAATTATTATAAAGTTCTTATATAAAGAGATATAAAACTATTAATATAGATATTATAGTAAATATAAAGTTTATTAATATAATTATTATAATAATTATAAGGTTTATTAATTAAGTATTAAAGTTTCTTATATAATAAATATAAGTTTTATTAATATAAGTATTATAGTAAATATAAGGATTATTAATATAAGTACTATAATAAATATAAAGTTTATTAATATAAGTACTATAATAAATATAAGGTTTATTAATATAAGTACTATAATAAATATAAAGATTATTAATATAAATATTATAATAATTATTATAATAGTTATAATTATTAATATTATTACTTTAAAGGATAACTATAATAAGTTAAGTTAATAGCTTTAGAGAGCTTTCTAGCTTTAAAAAGCTTTAAGTTAGTTATTTTATTCCTCCTTATCTTATATTAATCTAAGATTATTTAATTAATTAATATAAAGTAACTTAATTTACTCTATAGTTTATAAGGTAAATCTTAATAAAAAGTAATAATAATTATATTAATAACTATTAAAAGAGTATTTCTAATTAAGAAATAAATATATATATATATATTAAAGTATTTACTTATTAGTTTATATTATACTTTATTTAAGTCTTTATTTATTTAAAGTAAAATCCCTTTCTATTAACTTATAAAGTAGATTTAAGATCCCCTCTCTTATATATAATTTTCCTATAGCTTAATAAAGGCATTTATTTATAATAGTATTAAGCTAATAAAAGCTTTTTTAAGCTTCTATATTTATTATATTAAGTTATTAAGCTCTAGTAAGTGCTAGAGTAAAATCCCTCTAGCTTATAGCTATAGAAGCTATAATCTTAAGTAAAGATAGTAGTTAAGCTAAGTTAACTAAAATATTAAATAGTAAGATAAGAGATTAAAAGAGGGTTTATAATATATTATATAAGTAATCCTATAGTTAATTAAGAGATTAAGAGTTAATAATAACTATATTTTAAGAATAAAAAATAAATAAAAGATAAAGTATACTCTTTTTTAGCTATAAGGCTTAATTATTCCTTTTATAATCTAATTATCCCTTATTAAGCTATTAATCTATCTACTAGATAAGGGATCTATAGTTATAGTAACTAGCTATCTATAAGAGAGATAGAGAGGTTAGGTCTATAGCTATAGGCTATCTATTAGAGAGATAGAGAGGTTGGAGCCATGGAAGGGTCTATCTTCGAGAGAGACAGGGAAGTCAGGGCTACAGCTGCAGCCTATCTTTGAGAGGGTTATCCTACCAGCTCTCACTAGTAGCTTTTATTATTATTAAACTTTATTCACTTTCTCTTACATTATATAAAGGTTCAGGTATATTAAAGCCAGAAATAGAGCTAACTCTCTATGTAAGATAACGTGCTAAGTTGAGGAGTGATAAAGTTACGGATGCACTATGGGTAAACCTAAGAAGTGTTGTGAGGGTTAGCTCATCCTGAACTAAGCATCACGGCCCTCTAGATTGGATTGCTTGTGTTATAATGCCTGCGCTGGGCATTATCATGTCCAGGTTTTAGCTCTCACCTTGATTTCTCAGAGCATCCAAACATTGATAATTTCCTATGCCATGTGCTCGGAGGTCCGTGAGAATTCCGAGACCCGCCGCAACCTACAAGATACGAATCTCTTATTTGAGAATTTTGTGGGACTAGTTGATGAGTCCTTTCATAGAGATTGTTATTTCAACTTCATTCCGCCGCCCTACATCAATGCCACAAACACCTCATACCTCTCCGAGCCGCCGACTTCATGCCTCTTGCCAAAGGTCCAATACCTACTTACCGCGTCGACATCGCTATCGCACCAGAGAAGCGCTATGTAGAGGTGGCGCGCGATTTTGCGCCGCGGATGCGCGACATGACAGCGATATTCAACGACCTGCTGGCGTCCATTTTCAGGTATCCCATCGTCTGCTGGCTCGTCAAGGCCTGCGTCAGGGTGTGCCTCCGCAGACTCCACGATGACGAGCAAGACCGCGAAGTCAAAAGCATCGCCAAGTTAGTCGGCATGGACAATTACCTCCTCATCGCTCTGAATATCCTTCTCGACGTAATGATGGGCTGCACGGCAGGATGCATCTTGACAGAGCCCAACAACCCGCAGCCACCAGAGGCCACCAGCCGCTTGTTTCATTTTCGAACACTGGACTGGGCCATGGATCCTCTCAGACACCTGCTTATTGTTGTAGAGTTTGTAGACTCCAATGACGACCCCCATCGAGTTATTGCCAGGTCGATTACTTATGCCGGCTTTGTGGGTACTTTGACAGCCACGAGGTGAGTTATTTACAACCGGTGAGAATTGCTCTCCTAACATTCCCACAGACCCGGGCTCTCCATATCACTCAACTACCGGCCATCGAATGAGCATTCATGTTCGAGCGCAGCCGTCCGGAAACACCAGTTGCTAGTTCTGTTGGGCTTCCGCCCATCCGTAGCTTCTGTCCTCCGCTCCGTGATCCTCAGAGAGGGAGGCTGGGCGCTTCACGAAACATCGGAAAGCGACAATGCCTCGGCGCCAATAACAGCTCTAGCAACCCAACTGACGAAGCAGCCCACTTCGCCATGCTACCTCACGCTCTGCGATGGTCTGAGCGCTGCAGTGATCGAGAAGGATGTGTATAGTGGAAAAATGAAGACTTCTGATCGTTTCATTGTGCAAACGAATCACGACACTCACAAGTCTGGCTGCTGTTCGGGAAGGCGCTTCATGCCGTCTGATTCAGATGACCCTCGAGCTTCGCTTTTGGGCGCAGAGCCTTGGCTGAAAGACTCAAATCTGCGCATGACTATGCTGCATGAAAAGTGGTTGCTCCATGCCGCCGGCTTAGACACTACTACGCCTGTAGAAATTGAAAAGAAGGAGGAAAATGGCTTGTGTTTCAGTCAAAGGGCCGATGTCTCGAATGTGAGGCCTAGGGTAGGGGTCAAGGAGCGTTTGTTGCAAGAGTGGATGATGGAGTTCCCAATCATCAACGAGTGTTCTCATTATGGCTGCATTATGGACCCTCGGACGGGTGACATTAGATGGCTGGTCCGGGGAATGATCGAGTATGACCCCGAAAATCCGCGGTTTTAGACGGTCACACGGCCGACGTCGGGACTTCAGTATTGTATACGAGGTTTCGAGCGTCGTGCCTCGCTGGTGAAAAGATGGAAGCCGCATACCGCTAGGCCATAGGCTTGAGCACGTAGATAGCGAATAAAGACGTATCATCCTCATCCTGACCACCCTGAAACCAGAATCACCAGCCAAGAGAACGCCGGGTGACAGGACCGGATGAACAGCAAGTCAAAACATCTCCGTCTCAAACACACGCACTCCAAGGTGATGAGACGCCTATCAGACTAGGGCACACCACGATGAACCTCCCTACACTATTCTAGGGACGATATGATGGGGGTCAAGATGATCTGATATCACAGCTGTAGACCTCACGGTATTCATTGTGTTGAGTTGTCGGGCTCTGGCAGCTTCCATTGCTGTTGAACCTTATATCTTTCTCTTACGTTACGTAAACCCAAAAAGAACAAAAAGGGAAAAAGGGGAAAACAACCTTTTAGCTTGTGTCGAAGCACGCTCTGGCGTCACATGTTTTAACTCTATGTGCTGTTGACGGGAATCTTCAGAGTCTAACACCTTTTGACAGAAGGGGCAGGCCCATCGTTCTGGGTGTTTGTCCTTTTCATGGTCGCGAAGTTCCTTCTCAGAAGCAAAGATTTATCCATTGCCACGAGAATTACAATGGACCAAGGGTGGTGCTGGGTTATGAGAGTCAAGTGGGCGTCAGAATAACAAGGACCGCAAAGGTATATCTCGACTTTCTTATGCAGGCTGTAATCATAACAATAATAGATAATAGTGTATGACAATAATAAATTATTGAGTAATTATTAGATATTATTATCTATTAATACACATAAAAATAATTAGCTATTATCACACAATAGGAAACATTGTTCTGTCGCTGCCACAATAATTCTGTCGAGATGACTCCGTAGTCCCTGTTTTTATGACCGCCACTTGGAGTGTCGATGCAAAATAAGATCATCTTTAGTCTTGAATCATGGACCACGCCCAGGAAAGTCGCAATAATGCTCCCATATCTTTTTATCTTTGTACAAACTCCTGATACGAGATAAAAGACTACCACATTTCCTGTACCTTCTAGCACAAAATGGGCATGTTCGTTGCTTATCCTAGTAGGCGTCATCAATTTCGGCCTGGCCCGGGTCTTCGTCATCCCCTGGCAGCGGACTCCATTCCGGGTGGTCATGAACTTGCTGGCAGTGATATAAGAGGGGACCGACGCTTGTGAACACCTCATCGCAATGGGAGCAAGGTTGACTTTCGATGGGGGCCTTGTTCGATGGGGGCGTTGTCTCCATGGGGCCAGAGGTCGATGGGCTGTAGATGCATGTCGAATGCAGGGGTCTGTCTTGACGTCCAAGACAAGTTGGATGTACCCCTTCGCTATCCGGTAGAGAAATCTTTCCCAGCCGACATGCGGCTCCCCGAGGCCAAGTTTTTCCGCGGCTTCATTTTAACAACTGCGCATCCTATAAAGCCTCTGGCAGATGAATCGATATACCATATCCCTTCCAGCCAGAGGCGGTGGCTTGTGGCCTAGAATGAATGTAAAAAGGATACCACACTCGCTCGATTCGTCTGTCACGGGATGGGATATTGCAGTAGTAGTCAAACTCCTCCGCGGATAGTCCTCGGTCGATGGCCATCTGTTGCATCTTGCGATATCGATAGTAGGCTTAGGAGCTGCCTGGTCTCCCGCATCACTGTCAGATGCAGCTTCAATCCCAAGCTGTAGCGTCTGGCCTAAGGAGTCATCCTCAGAGTCGTGATCCCTAGAGGCGCCATCATTAGAGGCGTCATCCTCGGAAGCATCATCATCTGAAGGCTGACGGAGCGACCACTCCTCATCGGCACTGCTAGCAGCGGCATCCTGAACGACAGTCTTGGGTGTCTGATTGCTGAGACGAGTCGATCGACGAGGGGCGGGCGAAGGCTCCATCACAGCCGTCTTGCCTGGTCGCTTGGTGGTTGGCGGGGGAGTGGGCACGACTTGAGATGGTCCAGCCTTGGGGGCGAAGAACGACTTGATGCTGGACTGATTCGCTGGGCGAGCCTTGGGTTTCCTGGCCTTGGGCTTTGTTGTCGCGACGGCCTTGGGTTTTGATGTCGCGACAGCTTTGGGACGGGACACGGACGGAGGGTCGGCTTGGCCGAAACGAACAATTTCAGCCTCAAACTCTGGCAAGTCGGAGCCGGAGAATCTCAGCTTCATGGCGTCCAGAGCATCACTGGGAGGATCCGCGCTGGTGACTCGTTAGCTTCGTACTATGCGACAAGCTTCAATTGACTTACACATTGCGAAGCTGGGTAGCGAGAAGATGCTGATGGATCACAGCATCGGTGGCAATCTCCTTGAGACTCTTCGCATAGTCAGATGCTTGGGACCTGAGCGACGCGGTCTGGAAGGCGGCGTTGCTGGCTTCGTCGAGGGTCTGGCGCACATTGAGGTACTCTTGCCAGCGCATGTTGATGGTAGCGACCAGGTCAGGATCGTCTTCGGGGGCGGGCGATGGCGAGGGTGTCTCTTCAATGAAGGGACTCTCGGGGGCGGGCGTCTCAGGGACGGGCGTCTCTGCGTCTTCCTCGATGACGATGCAGCTTTGGACACTGTCAGACTCCTAGTTTGATTCGTCTTGGCTGTCGACGGAAGGGCTGGCGACACGAGGCCTCTTGTTGACGGATGGTGTCGGGCTGCTCTGACGCTTGCGTGACGATTGCATGGCCAGTTTAGCGGCATCTTGACGGGCCTTGAGGTTGTCGAGGACATCGGAGCGACGGAATGAGACGGCGAGCGAGATGTCGTCCTCGCAGGCAAATTCGTGGTGGATAACTCGGTCGATGTCGTCGGGGAGCAACAGCCACGCTCTGAGACAGGATTAGCCATTGCCATTGAATCATGTTAAGGGACTTACTGGTCTTCGATGGCGTCGAGGAGTTCCAGCTGAAGTTGGAGGCCGGCCTGGGCATGGGCATTGCAGTCGTTGACAGCAGCGGTAATCTGGGCCTGGTGGTTGCTGGCGAACACAGACGACTTGATGGCGCTGTACTTGTGTCCTGCGACGGTGTGCTTGACCCAATGGTGGTCAATCTTCTCGGCGAGTACGCCAGGGGTGGTGACGGGAGTCTCCATGGTGCCGTTCATCTTCGAGGATATGTTACGTGTAAACACGAACAAGAGAACCAAACTCTAACGAATCCGATTGGTTTCCTGAAGATATAGGCGAAGGGGGTTCCAACCTAGTCGTAGACGAACCGAGTCTCCAATTGTCTTGCAAGAATAAATTCGAGCAAGAAGCAAAAGAACCAACCTCTAACGAGGTCGATGTGAGAACTCAGTTATTGTCTTCAACCAGGAGGAGTCCAACTAAGGCTTGGACGAACCGAGTCTCCAATTGTCTTGCCTGAATAAATTCAAGCAAGAACAAAAGAACCAACCTCTAACGAGGCCGATGCGAGAACTCAGTGTCTTCAGCGCAAAGAAGGAAACAGCCGACTCAAAAGAATCGGTAGCGCAACCTTGGAGACTTGAGGCAGGCAGTTTGTCGAGACAGGCAAGACAAACGACAGAAAATAGGGGGACGAGTTGCTGGCAGGCAGATGGGCAAACCAACAGAAAACAGCTGGGAGACGATGTAGATAGTATTCAGAGTAGACAAGTTCATGGTAAATTGGTACGACTCTTCTCTTATGTATATTCCAGGACCACCCACCACATGTCCAGATCTCCCACGATCGTTACTTGCATCCAAATCGGAAAATGGGCAGATTTCCCACAGCGAGTGATGCGATTGGCTCATTTTCCCCGTCGTCTGGCAGGAATTTCGGGCAAATTGGCCTTTGCAGGCGAAAAAAAGGACTGATCTGGGGGTTGGCTCCTTCCCTCGAAGCTGGCTGTCGTCCCAATGTGATATTCGATTGGTCAGTCGATCGGCGGTACGTACCCTTTTATCCTGAGGCAGACAGAACATGGTGCGATAAGAGACATTTGGGTGGGCCTGGATCGAGTAGGCGAACGCGAGGCTGCCATTGGGAAGGAAGTCGGGTGCCAGTCGTCGGTGCGTTGTGGTCGTGGTTGTGCGGGTTGGGATCGAGGAGGCGGAGCGGACGGCGCAATGGATTGAAGTGGGTGGTACTGTAGGTGCTTCAGCTGGAGTCACGAAACAGTTAGCTCAAATGCACACAGCTAAGTTGACAAGACAAGTAAGGGGCGGGTGGCACATAATATGGGCTGGCGTTTCCATCGTGTTGCCATCGCGTTGCGCATCCGGTTGGCGCATGGTAGCTGGGTTGGGTGAACAAGTAAGGTAGCCTTGGTGCAAGTAGGCAGGTAGTTAGCTCATGTATTACTCTTTCTATGGGCAGGTAATAACTTCTGAGTCTATAGGACCTTGCAGTCGGTATGTGGTAGGCACCTTGGTCGATTGATGTGTTGAAAGAGACTCGAGGTCCCGAAGAAACCGGCACCATCGCCCTCATTGCCACTGGTATGCGTCGTTTAAGAGGTGCAGGGGATGGGAACATCATTCACCTGAACCCAATAAAAACCGCGTAGAGCCTTGTCGTCTTGCTCTAGTCCAGTGACAATGTGAAAACCCTTGCTCGCCAGGCCTTCAGTCCTCGATCGTCTCTCGTGCCTTGTGGTCTAGATGTCCTCTGGTGGCCTCGCGCCCGTTGGGTTGTAGAGGCGGGTGGATCGCAAATCGACAGTGGGCGGGCTGCTATTGTTCGTACACATTAGTGTTGATATCGTTGACAGGGTGTATTGATTTGTACCACAACCTGGCTTGTTGCAGCAGACTTGTCATTCTCTGTGGTTCGTCCCCTGCATCAGGTTTGCCAAAGCTGAGACGCAAGTATCGGTCTGGGCGGCTCGTGGAGTGTCGGGGCAGTTTGTTGCAGGTCCATGTTCGTTTTGGGCTTTGAAAGATTCACGCATAGTCCTTACCTTGATCAAGTGCACAGTTTCGTCTTCGCCAGTTCTAGGCCATCATATCTGCACCGGGGATGTCACTTCCCTCTATATCCATGCTGGACGAGAGTAGTAAAGTCTTCTCTCGTCAAGTCTCGAGGCGGAGACCGCCCATGCCATAATCTCTTCCCCCCTCCCCCTTCTTTCCAAGAGATCGCGCATTCCGCTCTTCACAGGCCTGGCTTTATCTCGAGGATGTGTAAGTTCGTGGAGGGGCCGCTGGAGAGTTGGAGGCTTCTTGGCGCGGGGGTAGCTGGAAAGTTGGCCTACCTAATAACCCTGAGAGGCCTCCAGAGCTAATCCTTCAGGAAGGGGAGTGTGCATTTCTAGACCGTAGACTGGAATTCGGTATCGCCTCGATAGACCTGATTGGCACTCGGGGGTGTGTTCGATGTTGGTGGACTAGAGTCTGGGCTCTTCGATTCGGATCATAAGCAGGTATTATCTGATGATAGCTACTGTCAGCACAAGATCAGCAGAGATGGTCATTTCTCACCTCCAGGAGGAATCATTCATCTGTTGCTTGACTGGTATTATAAGGATAAGATATGTTAATGGCCGATTCTGTACTGTATGTGTCTTTTTCTCTTGATGCAGCTTATTGTCAACTTGACGCGACTGGACTGGCCGAGTGGAATTGTTGGCATGCCATCGTCATCATTTGACAGCAGACCGAATCGTGGCTTGGAGCAACAGGTGGACACAATAATGATTGGAAAGCATTGGACAAGAAACAGCACTTGATTGAGAGTGGCCAGTCGTCGCAGTGTTCGAGGCTCAGAACAACTGGGTGGTAAGGCAAGTAAGGTAGCGACCGCGCCTACACACCAAGATTTGCATCATTCAGCTGTGCTGGCGCTTCTTCTCACACGAGTTCGTGCAAATTTCCGGTGGCCAAAACAAACTGCTGGCTGCTGCTGGCGGCTTCACCCAGTCCCCATGCCAACTACCTGAACGTGAAAGCGTCACTTTGGAATGGGAAGGCTACTCATTGGATAACAATTTGGAAATTTGGTAATGCAAGATGTCGATGATCGATGGAATAATTATTTGCGTTCAAGTGTGCATCTTCAAGAGCCTCAGCCCTCCCATGTTATGTCCCGCGGTGCAGGGACCATTGTGGCGGCCAGAAACCTCAACGCGTGTATCACTGGGCTTGCAAGAAAAAGATAAAAAAAAAGCGCTACTTCAAGGGGAATCGAACCCTGGGTGCCTAGGCCTCGACAAAAAGAAAGAAAGAAAGAACCAACGTCTGACGACACCGGTAGTACCAGTTGGTCAGTTTTTGACTGACCCACTGGCAAAAGCGAGCACGTTTCAAGACTCTATATAGTATTCAACTGAGATTCTATCAAACGCGGCAAGCGGTAGCTACAGTCATAGCTACAGTCATTAAAAGGCTGTCGCGGCCAAAAACATGATTTGAGGAGTTACAGCGACATACTGTACTATAGCACCAGTTATGACCTGTATCTGAATGACCTTGAGAACTACAGTACCTAGATGTCAATCCAATCGCGATGACGCGTAGACTGAAGCGCCCGGCACACGAGACCGGCTCACGTCGAACGCCATGTATCAAGGATGGCTGCACAGCCAAGATGACGGGCTCTTAGGGATAACGGGAATCCCAGTTTCTGGCAAGTCCGCCATGAGCTTAATTTGATTCTATCTAGTTCCTTGATTTAATCAAAACCTCCTAGATAGACATCCAGATCAACTTCAGCCTCTCCATGGCCAGTCCCACACAGTGCACTCTGCTGGCAAGCGACTGACATAAAACACGGCAGACTTGAACCTCTAGCATTAAATCTTCACACAATATCAAAACAATGAACATATTAATTGACAGAATATTATACTAAATATCACAGAATAATTTGTTATTTTCTGATTATTGTTTCCTTGTTTACTAAGAAAATGAGTGCCGACACTGCAAAGGGCTCGCCCTAGTAATCTGGGAGTGTTCTCAGATTGCTCTCAGATCAAACTGACCCAGGCGGCAACCTGAGGCAGTTTACCGTTGCATGGTCCGTGCGCCTCATGTTGCTATATCCCCTCGCCTCCCTCTTCTGATCTCTCTTTCTTTCCCTTCTTCCTCCACCACCAACGAGTCCACCATCCCTCTGTGACCAGACTTGTTTTTGCATATGCACCATTCCTTCCGATAGATTTCGGAGGGAGAATCTATCATTCGTTGCAACCGGACCAGTCGACGCGTCGAGACGTTCTTCGATCCATCCTGGTTTGTCCAAGGTTCCCTATCCGCCAGACTCGTCAGAGTCTGGTACTGTTGCTCGGCCTAGACTTGCTTCTAGGGTTCCACGGTAATACCAATTTTCTCGGGGTTCTGACTCCATGGAATCTGGGTATTGGCCTCTGAACCGGCTGTCTAGAGTTGAAAGTTGGGCAAGTAATTTCTTGTCTATGATATTGTGAATCGACTTGTTGAGGATTTGGTTTAACGACCTACATCCAAAACAAAAAAGAATTGCAATTTCTTACTGGTTTTGGCTAAAAAGAAAATTTATTAGGGACCATCACCGGAGTCGTTAGACTTTGGTTCTTTTGTTTTTGCCTCGCGGCAAAACATTTCGGTTCCCTTCTCACGCTCTATTCCATCCCCCCCCCACACCACCTCTCTCCAACAAGACAAGATGGAACCAGTCCGGAAGCCATTCGGCAAGTCCTGCTGCCTGTTCCTCGGGTCATAGGATGGCCCTATGGTCAGTGGCAGAGACTTCCGCCCTGATTCGGATATCAGCTCCAAGCTGATCCAATGTGCGGATTTGCATACGGATCCTTTCACGGGCTTCACTTTGCTGTTCCCGTTGAAAAGCCACGGCGAGGAAGGGATCGGCGGCAAGATCCATCGACGTAAGGTTATTTTCCTTTTTTATACTAGTGACATTATGCGAACTTCATTGAGTAAACTTTGTGTGTTGAGTGTAGTTTGTGTGTATTGAGTGTAGTTTGTGTGTATTGAGTGTAGTTTGTGTGTATTGAGTGTAGTTTGTGTGTATTGAGTGTAGTTTGTGTGTATTGAGTGTAGTTTGTGTGTATTGAGTGTAGTTTGTGTGTATTGAGTGTAGTTTGTGTGTATTGAGTGTAGTTTGTTTGCGTGAAGTTTGTGGTAGCTAACGATATGAACAGTGGACAGGCTCAAATTGACGCTTCAACAGCCAGCTCAAGCATCATTATTGAGCTCAAGATCAAGCCCCTGCGCGGTCGCTTTACCTTCACCGTGCAAGATGTCGATGCTGTCCCCGGTCTTCGCCAGCGCATGTCCGATTCCAAGGCCAAGTCCAGCGCCATTCACATCTTGAAGCTGACCGCAACGTCACTGTTGAAGGATTCAGCAAAGAGTTCAATCAGCCACCCTGGCCACCCTTGTGACGGCTGGTTGAATCATGGCCAACCCATGGCCGACGGCAAGACTCTGCTGGAAGTTTTAGACGAGCGAGAGTTCTTCATTGTCGCATCATTCCCAGAGAGGGAGGTCAGCAAGTACTGGGGTGAAGGTCCTCTGCCGCCATCGTTCAGGTACGATCAAGTCTACGGCAGCGCTCACGATTGGGAGATCAATGGCGCACGACAGAAGTGGGAGGGCCTGCAAGGCGATGAACAGTTCAGGAGAACCATTACCTTCACCGACATCAACGCGCCTATACCGAGCGAACAGGGACGAACTTGAGCGCCTGCGGAGGAAGGATGCCGAGCTTGTCCATATCGCCGGCATGGAACCTGTGGCCACTGTCAACTCCTTCCGGGGCCTTGAAGGCGATATTATCTTTGTCGTGAGGGGTTGTCAAACGACACTTTCGCACTAGCAAACAAGTCGCTACTACCTTTCCGCGCGACTAGCGATATTATGCATCTGAAGGTGGTGTAAGAGCCCATGCATAACTCGCATAACCCACATTTCGCCGATGCTGAGCTGTGCAAAATCCAGCTCCTAGCTGCGATTGATAGATTCTTTGACATGGAGATTCAAAGGCACCATCTACTGCCTGTATAATATGTGCACTTTCTATGACCCAAGCCTCGTCATCGTCGACGACATCAACATCGTGACCAAGTGTTCAGCGGTGGCTGCGGCAAGGATGACGACGGCAGGGGAAGGGGAAGGGGAAGGGGAAGGGGAAGGCTAAGACCAAGCACAATACCAACACGTCCAGAGTCAAAGGGGACGGAGCACTGTCAGCTTTGTGCGGTCAGCATTCTTGGCCAATGTTTTGCAGGAGCAGGTGACTTCCGGCAGGGTGGTTGAGGCACCTGCCGATTGGCAGGCCGGGGAGGAGAAGAAGGCCCAGGAGAAGAAGCCCGAGTAGAAGAAGCCCGGGGACAAGAAGCCCGGGGACAAGAGGCTTGGGGAGAAGGAGAAGGCTGAGGACAAGAAGGCCGATAAATAGATTTATAAATTGACTTCGCTGTGCAGTTCATTCTATGGTCCAGTACGTGATTCATTACCCAGCCACATGTTTCCCTCCTATTCAGGATAACATTCATACTGAATATTACTACGCGAAATCCGTCACCTTGGCCGGCTGTTCAGTAGGTACTTGAGGTAAGCCATGTGCAGTCTGATGGGTACCTAACACCTAGGCTGATGGCAAGCCTAAGAGACATGTCCCCATTGAACTTCTTCAAGGTCACCGGCGTAGCTGTCTACGTGCTTCGGATCCAGTATCGCATGGCTGACGACCTCTTTGGGCTGTGCCACAGATACATGTACAGCGACGTCGACTGCATGTACAGCGACGTCGACTGCATGTACAGCGACGTCGACTGCATGTACCACGAGGCGTGCGACCCCAATCTACCCAAGCATCAGATCGGGAGGACGCTGGAGGTCTTCGCCCTGTCCAAGCTGCCTGGCCTGAAGAAGTACGATGATGACAAGCTGCGGTCGATCTTCGTCCATTGCCCCGGTTCCAGATCCATCAAGGCCAGGGGTAGGCGTTCGACGCTCAACCCTGACCAGAACCGCGCCGCCCTCAAGTTCCTGGTCAAGTTCGTCCGTGAGAATAAGATTGATCCAAGCCGGATCAAGCTCATCACACCATACCGAGCCAACAGGGACGAACTTGAGCGCCCGCGGAGGAAGGATGCCGAGCTTGTCCATATCGCCGGCATGGAACCTGTGGCCACCGTTGACTCCTTCCAGGGCCGTGAGGGCGATGTTGTCTTTGTCGTGATGGTGATGACTGGTAAGCCTCGCATGACTCTTTCTACTAAGCTTAGCTAACAGTTTCATCAGAATTGACCGGCCCCGGTTTCATGATCAATGAGAACCGCCTCAATCCTCCTGTCGCGCCAGAAGAGCGGCCTCGTCATCATCGGCGACATCAACATCATGGGCAAGGTGTTCGGCGACGGCAAGGGGAAGGCCAAGGGGAAGGCCAAGACCAAGCACGACTCTGCACGTGTCGCCGTCGTAGTTAAAGGGGGCGGAGGTAAAGTCAGTTTTCTGCGGTCGGCATTCCTAATCAGTGTTTGCCAAGAACTGGTGAATTCCGGCAGGGTGGTTGAGGCACCTGCCGAGCAGCAGTGCAAGTAGGAGAAGAAGACCGATAGGTAGATTTATAAATGACTTTGTTGTGCAGTTTATTATATGGTTCAGTATGTGATTCATTGAACGTCCTCCCAAGCGACTGACATAAAACATGGCACACTGAGAACCAGCGCTGAAGCTCAACACAATATCAAAACAATCAACCTCATATTAAACAAAATATTAAGCCAAAGATCACAGAATAATTAATTATTTCATATTATTGTGTTAAGTATTATTAATAAGAAATTAGGTCCTTAGCTTACACGAAAAGGGTTCGAGTGCCATGTTTTATTTCAGCCACTTGCCGCCTCATACTAACTCAGAATAACGGTCTAAGCAGCGGACAGGGAGGTTATGCTCCTGCGAGTTGACTGTTGCAGCTGCTGACCTCTGCCCCTAGGCCTGACCGACAGTGGTCGCTCATCTTAACGGAAGATAGATATATTAGGTTCACAAGGATACATATGCTCATTCTATCATTTAATTCAGTAAATATGATCACCTAGTCCTCGCTAAGTGAGCACTCTTTAATATTTCTCGATCAGTTGTGTAGAGGTAATCCCTTGCAAACACCGCCCGTCAATGATCTCACTGATGTCTCCGTTTTCTGCATCATCTGACAGTCCCGTACCAGAGGATAACGCTCACTCTATCCATGTGGTTTTGGAAGCAGTCGTGCAGCGACTCTCATGCCCACGATGGGCCTGACTTCTTCTCATCGGACATAGGCGTGCTGCTTACCATCTCATAAGTAGTTGATCACCAATCAGCGCCAGAGTCGATAGCCAGGGTGTGAGGCCCTGCTCTTTGACTGTCTGAGATAGAATGAGAACACAGTATTTACTCTAGCATTTGATTATCGAGGAGACAACCTTGAGTTCGATTGCGGCTGTTTAATTTGGAAAGTCATGGAGAGACTTGCCGTAAGTAATTCTTCTGACGCCACAAGGGCGTGATACACATGATCAACACGACCACGCCCTTGGCTTGTCATATATAGGATGACCAATCGGCGGAGGTATCAAAAATATAAAACGAGGCTTGCAAACACAAGAGATACTACCTGAATTAAGAAAAAAAGAATCTATACATTGACAGCATAAGCACTTTGAAAACCAAAGCAATGGCTGCTTCGGGCTCGGTATCAATCACCTATGTCGCTGCAGACTGTGGCTCTGTCATCCCTGGCAAATCAAAAGCACCACAAGCCTTCCAAGATGCCGGTATAGTCAAAAAGCTACGAGATGCTGGGATACCCATCGTATCAGAGCTTGATGCGTTGGAATCGCCTGCGAGGTACTCTCTCAAGTCATTTCCCCACGGAAGCGTTCGCAACGAGGAATTGAACATATCTGTGTGTCAATCTGTTCGCCGTGCTGTCTCTCATAATATAATGGCCTCCTCGTCCGACCAGCCACCATTCCAACTCATTATTGGAGGAGAGTGTTCCATGTGTCCGGCTATCCTCTCCTCTTTTTGGGAGTACGCCGCGTCACAATCGCCCCCGAAGCGGGTTGGTCTCATCTACATCGATGCCGACACCGATCTCGCCTCCCCAAACGATCCTCACTCGACGGGGAACCTGGCTGGTATGAATATGACGCATCTAATCGGACGGGATAATGGACTGGAAACCATGCGACAATTCTCACGCCCGTCTGGCGAGGCTGTCTGCGACCCGAGCAACATGGTCCTCTTTGGAATCAATATGGCATTTCCGGGAAACAAGCCGGAGCATTTCGCCTATCTATTTGACAATGAATATGCTGTCGTCAGCTCGGCATCAGTGGCTCTTTCGCCAGAAGAATCCGCAAGAAAGGCGCTTAGACGGTTAGAAGAAAACACTGATATTATCATGGTGCACTTGGACGTGGATTCGATCGACCCACGCTTGTTCCCATTGGCGAATCTCCCGAACTTTACCGGAGTAACATTTGAGCAAATGATGGCTGCACTGGGTGTGTTCTTGGCGAGTGATAAGGTGGCAGGACTGACGATTGCAGAAGTGAACCCTGACCATGATCCGGGCTTGGGGATGGTGGAATCGTTGTCCGAGGAAATTGTCCAAATGCTATCATCGAGACGCTTTGCTTCTTCTTGAGGACTTGAATGGTGGAAATACCTGCTGTATCCTCCGGTGATAGATGTCTGCTGATTAATGAATTACAAACACCTTGAGCCGACTTACCATATCAAATGTGCGCGAGTGGAATATTCACAGGAATAAGGGTGGCAGCTGTTAGAAGCCATGTCGCCGCGCTGGCTGGATAACAAGCTGTGTGGAGGTCTATAGACTACGAGCAGAGCTGCGTGTGAGCTTGGGTGTCGTCGTGAAACATTTTCATGAGCTGTCAAGGGTTAGTCCACCTCCCAGCAGCCAGACATGCTTGACCATGCACACCTAAATTTCGGCTACAAGCCATAATTAAGACGCCACGGTACCACCCGATAGGGATGGGACTACGAGTTGCAATACAAATGATATCCAGCAAAATGACAACCGTAAAATCAAATGGGGACAGTCATTTCTCAGCAGCGTGGCCGCTAAAAAAAAGCTCATGGACATTTAGTATCACTAGATAGGTCTGATGGATCAGGTTGGTTCCTTGCCAGTGGGTTTTATCGCTTGCTACTGATATTCTCCTGCTTCAGGGGCAAAGCTCTCTGTACTGACTTTCCTGATTTATCTAGATTTCTGATGAATATCTGCATAAGATTTAGGCAACATGGGAATTCCGGCTCAGCCAAAGACCGCGCTGTGCTCCTGACCTTACTAGCCACAGAAATTATAAGTGTTTCCGGGGAACTGAGGGTTAGGGTAGAACTGGCCATTGTAGCAAGCCTGTCCGCAGCAAAGGTCGGGTCGATCGAAGCTACATTGATATCCGGCTGGCGCGCATTGCGCTGGGGTGCAGACGCCGAAAGAGCAGATGCTACCGCTGCAGCAATCAGAGCTCGCACTGCAGGTACCTGGATGATGAGTTAGGTCAGCCTGGGACAGAACAGTTGGGAGGTGATAGATTTTACCTCTGTTCGCAACACACGAAACCGCCGAGGAGGTTGACGCGGGAGAGGTCGAAGTGGCCGAAGTCACAAAGGTGGTGAGTGACGGAGTCGGAGTCGGAGTGATCACATCACTAGAGGAGACCAAAGTCGAAGACGCTTCTGGGGTGCTGGACGGCTGCGGTGTGGAGGATACCTCTGGAGTGCTGGACACCTCTGGGGTGCTAGACACCTCTGGGGTGCTGGACGGCTGCGGTGTGGAGGACACCTCTGGAGTAGTAGACACCTCTGGAGTGCTAGATACCACTGGAGTGCTAGATACCACTGGAGTGCTGGATACCACTGGAGTGCTGGACACCTCTGGAGTGCTAGAAAGTTCCGGAGTGGAAGACGAGGGTGGAGTGGTCGATGATAGCAAGGTAGAAGACACCGGTGTAGGAGTAAGGGAAGGGGTGAAGACGGGAGTAGTAGAGACAACAGAAGATGGCGAAGCCACAGATGATGTCGAGGACATAGAAGACCGGCTGAGGCACCTTGCCGCGGCACCACCCAAAAGGGAGCCTAACACGATGGCAGATCGAAGAAGCATAATGGGTTGTATTCGTAATGGTATTAAAGAGCGTCGAGAAGTGAGTGTTAGCGAAGTAACGAGTGTCGGTCGAGAATTCGACTTTCAGGATCAAGAATATCAATTCCCGAGGACCAAAAATGAGTGATGGCCTGCCTTGGCCAAGAAAGCAATGCTTCCAGCACCGTGCTTTTTGTATATCGTCTCCATAAGATAAGAAACAGGGAATGGGGCTAGATCCAGGGGAAATGAGGATTGGCATCCACCAAGATCAATAGTCCATCCTAGTGCCGATCATGGAGGAACGGATGTAGCCCTACGTAGACTGGTTAAGACACAAAGCTGGCTCCTACCCGGGAGCATTTCTTGCCAGTAAATGTACCTACTTAGCCATGTTTCTTGAGATTTGATATTGTAGATAAGGCTAGCGGGAAGACAACGAAAGACAATTGAGCGGCCTCCAGCCTAAGAAAGTGGCTTAGTCTGGGCCTCACTATGAGGATCCCAGGTTCTCAACCCCAAGAAACTGGTAGTCTAACGAGCTACGCCTATCACAGCCTGTTGCAAGTCTAGCAAGCAGCACTAAACTCAGCCCTACTTGAAGGCTTGGCTGGGCGGCAATAGTCTTCTGCGCCACTCATTTAAGTTGGTGTTATCAATGCTACAGGTTAGTAGTCTTTCTTATGACCGGGGCTCCCTTCCGTCCGCTGATTCGATCATGAATCGTTTTGGTGCAGCCAAGACTGTATAGTGGGTTCCATTCACAACCTGTTTGAAGTTGAGAGTCAGCAAGTGGCTGTTTTATCTCAGCCGCTTGGTTGGTTTCTAAATAAACTTGCAAAGGCCCCACGGGATCAGAGAGATTACACCTGCTATCTTCAATTTTATCCCGCATATCTCTCGATGACGATTAGATGTCAAGAAACTAACGGGGGTTTTGGAGAAGAATTGCCAATCAGAAATTACTTTTGCTCCCGCCGTATCCAGCCTGATTCATCAGTCTGTCAGTAACATCGCTAGCACCGCGTTACTGCAGATCCTTCATTTTTGAATGTCACCATGCCATCCTTCAACGATACTAGTACTAACATTCAGGCCACACAGCCACCACAAATGCGGATCGTGGCATAAAACTAGTATGATAAGCTACTGGACGTTTAGCACTACTAGTCATAACAAACTTACGAATTTTCAGTAGTTCGGCTTGATCAAAACCATTCATCTTGGTCGTGAAAACGAGACAAAGCTTGTTGCAATGATGGCCATTTAGTTCAAACAAGCGGAGGAGACTTGATTTCAATGTTTGAATTTATATATCGTTTTCCTCTAGTCTACTTCTGCTTCGACTCTACCGCCAGATGGATGGCAGCTAGCAGAGCGCTTCTTTGCGGCTACAGTATCGACAAGATATGCCACCGCACTTCGAACAGTGTCCATTTCTGGTCCACGGTCTTCAATGAATCTATCCAATTCGAATAGATGATCCTGTCCCTTGGCAACGAAAATGAAAATCTTATCTTGACCCAAGCATGCTCGCATCTGCTCGCTCACGTCAAGAGGGACCCCTCGGTCTGCATCCCCGTGAATAACAATACTGACTGGCCAATCTTTTACCTTGGAGCTATATCCAGGCTCCTTGGCCCACTCGTACCCTCGGTCCAAATCACCTACCAAATTTAGATACTGATTTTTATAAATCAAGTATTCATACAACAAGCCTCGTTGAGTAGCTTCAGCCGATTCTTCGATGCCTACCGGGTACACATAGTCGACACTTTTAGATCCGAAAGTTGTGAGCTTGTCGAGATGGAATATTCCTACAAATCCGGCTTTTTTGGTGCCAGCAACCACTGGTCCATCCAAGGCGCGAGAAACCATTTCATTATGAATGGGTTCTTGTGCCAGTAGGGTGGATGAGTTGAAGAACGGGTGCCTGAAGGTGTTGATACCCGATATAGAGAGTACCGCTAACGGTGATGGTAGGCAATGGTGCAAGATAAGTGCGACTAGAAAAAACCCTACAGCTAATGTTTTAGTACTCCCCAGTGATCAAGTTGAAGTCTTCAAGGTATGTACCTCCGCTTGCTCCGCATAATATCACGTCTCTTGGCATATTCTTGGTTCGGCCCCAAGTCCGTGCAAAATCGTACGCGGTTGCTGCATCCCGTAAAAGCTCTGGGCCTCTTGATTGGGGAAGCAGCCGGTATGATGGACTCATTAAAATCCATCCATGTCTGTAGCACACCTGCACGAGCCAAGGAGGAATACACTGTCGGTTCCATCCTACAAGCCCGCCGGCATGGAAAAATAAGACGACTGGAGCATCATCTGATGCAGCATCGGTGGCGTAAATATCGCACTCGAGGGGCAGTGTGTGTGTGGCATAAACTTGGATTGACTTTTTAAGCATTTTGATGTGGATGATGCCGACGTATTAGTCGGTGCCGTGGGATTGGATTGTGGCTCCAAAAGGCCCAAGAGATAACCGCTACAAAACTCGAGAATTATATAAAGAAAGATCGTTGAAGGCTGCCTGGCCAAAGGCCTACTGGTGACGCGTATTCATGGGACACATACCCGGTTCAATAATCACCCGCCCAAAGATCAATACCATGCAGAGGAGCCCAGTTAGGATTAGCAGGCAATTAATATTCAGGAAAGCAGCTCCTAGATACTAAGCTAAGCTGTTTACTCAGTATTTCTGAGTTTGAGACCAAGTCCCGGCGCGGGTAACAAAGACATTTGAAGATAAGCTTTTAGCCCCTATATTAACAAATAATTGCCTACCATGTCCAATGCTTCTCCTCTAATCTTTTTAAGTCGCTGGAGGTGATAGAAAACTAATTTTGTTATATCTTGCTGCTTGGGAGGCTGATGTAGACATTAAAAGACCCTCAATATGCAACCTCGAGGATTCCCCGTGGGCCTGCTCAGAAGGGAAGGGAAGAAAGGTAAAGAAAGATCGGCAAGACATCCAGTATTAATAGAATTTCATTTAACACTGGCTACCTACGAAACACACCAACCGTGGTGAGTTAGTCGCTAAACAGGCTTTCTCGAATATTACCTGCCTCTCTGGTGTATGTCAAGAGGACTATTATTCATAATAATAATATATTATTTGAGACAATATTGACCTGTATTATTAGATATTGAATAAGCCGTATTCTACTACAACCGTCGTCTATAGTTAACAGAACACAGAACCCGTTAATACCAGCATTGAAAAATCTATACCCAAGTAACTCCACCTAACCAACTTGCTCCGCACAGGCTCCCACCAGAGAGCAATGATGCGGTACCCTCTGTGCACGTATCATACGACATATAAGGAGCAACCATTCTAAATTTGATGCCATTGAGATCACGCCATGGCCACAGGACCTTCACCTGGCTCATGGCTTGGAAGCTTCTTCATAGGGATTGCCAGCGAGGCCAAGAAAGCGCAGCCACAGAAGGCAATGGCAACAGCGAACGCTGCTTTAAGTCCAACCATGTATGCCTTGAGGACTCCAGGGAGGACTTCCTCGGGAAAGACGTGCTGCAGGTCCGAGGCTCCCGTGAATAGAACCAGGGATGGGTCCACCCCAGGGGCTGTCTCGGGCAGGGCGATGAGCAGCCTGTTGACGAAGGCCGACTGCCCTATTGAGGTACTGAATGCTCCTCCAATTGTTTGGAAGAACAAAAGATTCGCCGTTACGGCTGCAAGATCTTCAGGACCTACGTCGGCTTGAGCAACAGCCAGGCCATGCATGATAGCAAAGGACATGACCGAACCAACAAACACCTGATAACCAGCCCATCTGGCAGTGGAAGTTCCGATGTCCAAAGTATAGATAAGACCAATCGCGGCGGTCGTAATCATGGAGCCAATCATCATAACCTGTTGGGCTCGCCCGGTTTTCATAACAACGATCCCACCCAGAAGCGCGAAGAAAACGGCGGCTGAGGCCATCAGGGGAAGATTGTTCACGCCGGACTGGATGGGGCTGACGCCAAGAATACTCTGGAAGTAAAGGGGAAGGTAGTATAGCAGAACAATGTAGCTTCCCATGAAGAAGAATTGGAAAGGGGCAGTTGCCGAGAGGGACCGCCGTCGATATAGCCGCGGCATCATCATGGCGTAGTCTCCGATCCAGATTTCCCATGTTATCAGCGCAATTGAGAGGAGCCCAAAGCCGACAAGAAGACCGATGACCACGCTGCTCTTCCAAGGGTGGGTGATTCCTCCATATTGCAACCCAAGAATGAAACAAGTGATAGCCCCCATGACTAGTGCAACGCCAACTAGGTCGATATGTAGCAATTTCTCTTTCCAAGTGGCCGGGGGAGGCGCTGCCGCTGCGGGCAAGTTGAAAAAGAAGACAACAGCGGCTGCGGCGAGTCCTCCGATGGGCAGGTTAATGTAAAAGCACCACCTCCAAGTGACAGATTCGGTAAATGCCCCGCCTAATAATGGACCAAGAACCGCCGATAGACAATAGGTCATGCCGATGATACCCATCATCAGGGGCCTTTTCAAAGGCGGAACGGTTAAGGAAATGATGCTCGTACCGCCTACTGATAAACCAGCACCTCCAAGACCGGCAATGGCCCTACCAGCTACAAGAGCTTTCGAGGTAGGAGCCACACCGCAGATGAGGCTGCCTACCTCGAAGATGAGCATCGACCATAAGAAAGTCCATTTCAGGTTGAAAAACTTGTAGATCTTTCCCGCTGAAGTCTGAGACGCTCCAAAGCCATAAAGTAGGCAGCAGCATACCATGAAACATCATCAAGCCCGTTGAACTCGGCAGTAATTTTTGGAATTGCTGTACCGACGATGGTCTGAAGTCGATGTTAGAAGGCAATCTCTTGAAAAAATCGTGCAGAAAATATCAAACGCAGAAATCCATACCTGGTCCAAAGCAATCAGAAAGACGGCGGATATCGAAGCCCCTGTAAGGGCGATAAACTTCAAGCCTTGTGGATATTGTTCATCGGAAGATTGTTCATCAGTGACATGTTCTGCCTTTTCGCTGAAGGAGTCGGCGACCACCTCCGTATCGGATCCGTTGGTGGCTGGCGTCTTTTGACGCTCCTCCGCTGCTTTCTCGGTAAATAAATCTGACATTTTCAAAAAGAGGCAGAGCAACCCGAGACTGTTGTAGAGATGAGGTGCATCGTCCAAGGGTAACCTAACAGATCAACCTGGAGGTATACCCGTTATATTCTCAAGAGCGTGGTGTATGCTGCCATTAGAAGGCGGACTTAACAATGGCACGGAATTCAACGCCGCCTTTCCAAAGTCCGCAATGCCAACCATGCCTGATCTTATTAGATAGTGAGATTTTGGTGCCCTCCTCGATCTGTGCTTTTACTCCACCACAGGCACTAATTCTAAATGGCCTCTCGGGTCGGTCCCGAAAACCGATCTCCTGGAATTGCAATCTGGCATTTCATTCACATTCAGTTGGCGGTTTGATTTCGTACTGTTCAGTGTCACGATAATTATCCTAGGGGGTTCCATAGCACGCAAAGATCACCCATTCTACAGTTTGCCCTGGTCTTCCCTAGAATGCTATGCATGATAACGGCTAGTGGAAATCATGGTTGGTGATTACGGAGATCAGGTGAGTGACAAATATCTGGAGAGTCCAGGAGTGATGCTTTGTTGGGCCGCCGCGCAAGCATGTTGACAATATTTAGGCCGTGCTCACAAATAAAAAGACGGAGTCGGATGAATCCAACCCTTTAGCTAGTCATGCCAGTCATGCCACTGACTTTAATTGCCCTAATCAGTAAAGTGAGTCTTGCAGCTGGCTTGACTCGATTGGGAAATCGTTGTGGCAATCCATGCAACGGAGGTATAAACGGAGGGTACGTGCGGACTTTGGTTTCATTATCAAACCAGCCACGTGCGGCCCAATGCGAGCTTCTTCATACACGTCGGCTTTTCCCATTTACGAATCCGGTTGTTGGGAAAATGAGCGCAAGACTTCTTGGATCATAACTCGGTGCGGCCATCGAAATCCAGAGCTTTCAGCCCCCTGTCCCCTGCCGTTGAGTAGACTTCCAGATGAAGCAACCTCATGCAAAACACACTGGCTAGGTAACAGCTTACCCACAGCAGGAGTCATTTCAACGATGGCTAGTCTCGAATTGAGTAGCATCGCCAAGCTAGAGGTAGCCTCCACCTCACGGAACGAGAACACGTCTGAGCAGAGGAAGCCATTGCCCAGAAAAGGCCTTCAACTGTCAAATTTTTATCTATTCAAGCCGTAGGCATGGTTCGAGGTCAGAGTATGTAAAGAACTTAAGGGAGAGGTTGAGCCCCCCATCGAGTCAGATATTTTCCGTAGTGTGGTCTACATCTAAGCCTCCTGATGCCTTAACTCAGCCGGGAGAGGGACGTTTTAGGCACATTTAATTAGTCTTCAATCTATACTAATGCTGTACAAGCAAGAGAAGTTTTGGGATATCTGCGGCCATATAAATAACCCTTTTCGTGCGAGGGGACATCAGCCAGTCGAGTCTGAATTAGCACTGCTGAGTTCTCATCACTGCACCAAGACCTCAGGGCTCATTCCTGGCCACAATCGGAAATTCATAAACTATTATCGCTTATATATGGCAAACTAGTCCATGACATAACCTTTATTAATGTCCAAAATAATATCCACTTTGAAAAGTCGGCGCCCTCCTTCGTTTGTCCCTACTAATCTACTTCCACCGCAGCCACTCTGACACCGCCTCAATTGGTTTCCTCTCAAGATCTTGGCTGTATTATGACATCATTTCCAAGATTTACAGCCAAACTAAACAAGTCTTGCGCAATTGCAACCTCCGTGATCAGTCCTGTGCAGGGATCAATTGTGAGAAAGTCTGTTCCGTTGTATGACACCTTGTCACCCGGCTTGAGCGTTCTGATAACTTGTTAGCTGAATGCAACACAATGCGAAGAGAATAGAGAGGATTAATCCTGGTTAGAACATACGTCGGGAAAAGGACAAATGTATCTGCGATCACGGCGTTGAGCGTCCAGCGTCCCACAACATTATGGTTGCTTCCTGCCCACTTGTTCAGGGTGAAGGTGTACACCTCGAAGTTGCTACGGGCTCGCCTGATGAACTGCTCAAAGTCAGAGGCGGTGTGCACCAGCTCTCCAACCGAGCTATAGCCTCCAGCACCATTTGGGAGTATATCGCCCTGCAGGGAAAGAGCTGGGGCAAACGTGGAATTGACAAGCGAGAGGTCCCCGTTCCACGCGTTCAAGTAGTTGTGGATGACTTTGTCGTAATGGGCCGGGGTGTTAAACTTGGTTGCACAGCATTCCGTAGGGGCGCATGAGCTGAATGGCAGGGAGACAAGGCATACCGCCAGAGTCTTGATGGGAAGCATGCTGAATATTTCGGGAGTTGATTGGTGAAAGTGGGAGGGAGGAATCTTCTTTCTATAGTTTTTGAGGAGGAGTGATATTAGGGTTGTTCAACAGCAGAAGCCATGAACACTGGAAAGTTAGACACCTATTTATATCGGAGAGTCAATAATGCAGTATCGCACTTCTGTCGCTGCGCTTTCGCCTTTTTCTCGCCCGAGCGCAGAATCATCCTCTTTGGGATATGCGGACTCCAGGCGATTGGTGCTTTTCCGCACTTCTCCACAAGCCGTGATGCTAACAATCAATCCTGCGGAGATGAGAGCATGGTAACACGCTATGCCCATTTCACTGGTCAAAAGCCGGGCTTCTCGCCTTCTGGCCCTATCAAATGATATTAGAAGAGTCCTCGGAGGCGAAAGACTTTCTTCGGGCATGAAACACTCTAAAATAGGTTCATGCGAAAGACTTGGAGGTTCGCCAGCATCTTATCGCGGCTCATTACTTCCGACAGGTCCACCCTGGCTCTCTTCAAGTAGTCCGTTTAATAGTTTCAGACAAATTATGAGATCTATTTTCATGTTGGCAAGCTTGCAAAGATATTAGGTATATGAAAAACCCTCTAAATTATCCATTTACTCATACCAGTGGTTAGCCCTGTCTAGCCTCAGTCTTCTCCTTGCTCAGATCTACTTCGCCCTCAATCTCCTTCTGGATCTGCTGTTCGATGACTGGAATATTAGATCCCTTGCCCATCATGCCTCGGGCCACACGAAGCATACTATGCCTTCCCTCCCAGAGCGGAAATAGACCAACAGCGCATGCACTAGCAAACAGCCATATGATTCCTACCGTCACCCAGCCCGTGAAGAAGGCCTCGGAGAAAACATAGGAGGAGCCATACATTGGCATGGGCCATAGCACCAGAAATGCTACCGTCATACATGCTGTCATGACCTTTGCGATTTTGGAAGCCTTGTTCAGTTTGGCCTTGTCCTCCTCGGGGACGGTGAGGGTGAAATTAGGGGGCGATTGATCGCCGCTCTCTGTATCTTCTGCAAGCCCGTTGAGGGCAGCACCGTCATCGCTTTGTTTGATAGCAGCCATGGATGCCCAATTATACCTATCGGCTCCAAAGAAATATGTAAGGATGGGGATAAAAATGACAGGGCTGAGAAGAGCCACAACATTGCCGGCCAGCATGGGGTTATTGGAACCGAGGGTTTCCACATTGAGGACTCCGTCAAATTCTTTGGAGCACGTAACTGTCCAGGCGATCAGGGCACAGCAGAGCCCTAGAATTGGCGAGAATGCTGCCGCAATCCAGTTCTGGCGGCTCCAAAGCAAGGTAAGTGCAGCGGGTAGTACAGCGGCAGAGATCATGACTCCCATCCACAGATAGAGCCATCCCATGCTTATACCTGCGTAATGCAAGCCCACGCTGAAGCCAGCCATAATAGCGCCATATGCAATGACTGAACTGTGCGACATGGCAATTAAACGCTTTCCGGATGCAGATGGATTGATATAGGTGCTGGGTAGAAGATGTGAGCTTTCGGGACTGTCATTTTTGCGGACCATGTAAAGAGCTTACTTATAGATATCATAAGTGAAAATAGATGAAACGGCAATCAGTTGAGCTGAAGCAGCTGAAGTAACGGCCATGAAAATCATAATGAGGGTACAAACAGCACCCGACTTTCCAAGAAGCCCAACGGCTGCATATGGAAGAACAAGACCAGCCGATACGTCTGCAGCATCCATTCGATTGGGGTAGGTTGGAAAAGATGGACTGCTCTCCAGGGCCAGGGCGCTGAGACCCATCGTTGTTGCACAGAGCCATGGGATAGCGAACCAAGAAAGGCCACCGATGATGTATCCGGGAAGTGCAGCAACTGGATGAGCCGCAATCGCCTTGTTGTAGTACCCTAAATCCTGACGTCAGCGGCCTGCCCCTCTAAAAGGGTCATCGAAAGGCTTACCGTTATCCATGAAGACAGTTCCAAAGTTTCCAACGATATTGATAACAAAAAAGATGATGCCTTCCTTTGATCTCATCGTTAGGTAAGACCCCTGGGCATTGCCCTCGACTGGGTGAGTAGACGCGGCTTCTACTAGCCTGTGATAAACCTCGGAGGGGGAACCGAGTTCTGTACCAGTTGCATATGCGCTGAGAGCGAAAATAAGAATTATCACGAGGATAACAACAGTGTGTACATAATCTGTAAGGAACGTGGCTTTGATCCTGCGAACAGAAAATTAGTGTTGCTGTTCAATTAGGTAAGTAGATCCAGACTTTACCCTCCAAACATAGTGTATATGACAACACCAAGTGGGAGCAGGAAACAGGCAGCTGCCGTGTTCATTCCGGTGAGAGAGTTGACGACAGCAGAGCCTCCAGTCAAGAGCATTGCTGTGACGAGGATATTGGTGAATAGACCGAAACAGATGTAAACACAGTGGGTGAAGCGACCTGGGTAAGTATCAGTGTCTGGCCTTTCAGGACCCTAAATTATACGTAGAAGTGATAAGACGCACCATATCGAGCTCTAATGACCTCTAGAAACGTGTGCGCGTTTGGAGCCCTTCGCTTGAGCTCAATGGCTAGAGTAGCGAAAAGGATAATCTGCACGGTAGCTCCCGAGGCGTACTGCCGTTGAATGTCAGGACCATTACACTATATGAGACGGGGCCGAAATTCTTACCCAAAAGGGACCTGAGACGCCGTACTTGTAAGCAACACCCGAAGACTGCAGAAGAGTAGCTGCCCAGGTCCAGCTTGAAACGACAGCCGAGGCCACGAGGCCAGACTTGACGGTTCTACCAGCCGTGTTGAACATTTCGGAAGTCTGCTTCTCGTTGTTGTACCTGAGAGAGGTGAGGTTAGCCACCAGCTAAGCACGGGACCAAAAGGATTTAGTGAGGCCTTGTAATGAACCTTTTCAAGATCCATGTTGTTAGGATCATGCCGAGAGCAAAGAGAAAGCCAAGCCCGACGACAATGCCATAGCCGTAGGCCTGGCTTAAAGGTGGCTCAACTGTGCCAGAGGATGGACCGCCACCTCCTGCCATGGTCGCAATGAATGCCAAACTCAAGATTTGGACTGGGTGAACAGCGGAAGTAAATAAAAATCTAGCTGAGGCAGAGAGATTGTCGGCATTCGCATGATAATGTTTGGGGATGGAACCCTCGGTCTTATATGCACTGCCGATGAGGCCTCTCGCCATTCCGCTATCTGATGAGTGACCGAGTAGTCATTCCACTTAAATCAAAAATAGTAATGATAGGAACATAATAATGATAAGAACAAGCCTTGTCCCTTTCCCTTCATCCTGAGGGCGGTTTGGAGATAAGATGGCCGATCACGTCAATTGGCCAATCAGGTGGCCTTGATAAGTCGTCATCGCATCACGATAAGCAGATTATTTCCCCGGCGGCCCGCAGATTGTGTTCCTGTTATTCATTCACTCATGTAACTGGTTGAAATGCACAGAGAGTTTGTTCTCGAGTTCCAGAGAACGTCATCCAGATAAGAACAGATCCTACATATGTACCTAAAACAGTCCAATAATGAGTATTGGCCAGCCCTCAAGTACAAATACAAATTCGTAAATACTAGATGACACACTGGCTCCGGCGCACATCGGCGTATAGAAGTAAAAGGGCCACAAAATCACCATCCTTATCGTAATGATTGCTTTCAGTTTGTTCAATCATCTATTGTATAGCGGCTAAGATGAAAATTTGCATGAATGCTATCGTCTCGTTCAAAGGGTTGGTCTCAATTTTTTTGTGCATGTGGCCTAGCCTCCCGACTCTGGCCGTGAGATGAACTGCTTCGTACCTTGACTTTTCGTCTACATGTGTAATTAGTAAAATAATAAATTAAAGCGCTATCTCTCCCCACGGGGTTGCGTTCGTTTGTGCGTGCCGCCGGCCAAATCTCAAGATCCGTCGGGTGGAGTCAAAGAATCAAACTGGGGCAGCTCGCCGCCGGCCAAATTCGCGCTGTTGATTGGACAATTGAATCCCACTTATCTGGCCGCCGGGTGAAGCTCGAACTGTTCTTTCTTCTTCCTCCAAAGAGTTGTGACGATGATGAATATAGCAGGTGCGATGACTTGAGTATGCAATATGGCCTTAAATACGAAAGGCGGCCCCTCTCCATTCTTTTCTACAAACAACAAACACCCTGTCATCGAAACTGTTACTTCCGATCCCGAAAGATTTTCTCCTGCCAGCACGAGTGCTTGACACTACCGCCGATCAGAGAAGGAGCATCTGCAGAGGACCACCAACCCACCGGCATCAATTCAGGGGATAGCTGATCAGCTCACGCTTCTCCTTGGTCTCTTGTTTCATTTCAAACGACGGTCATGGGTCAAATAGACCCTGGCAGCCGTGCTCCACTGCTCATCTCTGAATGGAAAGCAGCTCAGATATCTGGTGATGGCCTACAGAGGCTCTGTTCCCTTGTGGAAGCAGAGCGGTCTGCCAACTCTCACACACATGCGTGGATCTCCCTCGCGGAAAGCCGCCAGATCGAAGAGCAGTGGACGAAACTCCAGCAATTAGGCCCCGAGGCATCTTCTCTGCCACTATTTGGCGTGCCTTTTGCAATCAAGGACAATATTGATGCGGAAGGTTTTGCTACCACTGCCGCATGCCCATCTTTTGCTTCAGGAAAGGCGGCCTCAGACGCAGCTGTTGTTCGGAATTTCAAATCCGCAGGCGCCATTCTCATCGGAAAGACAAACTTGGACCAGTTCGCTACCGGATTGGTTGGAACACGCTCACCCTACGGCGCAGTTCCCAACTCATTTGATCCGACCCGTGTAAGCGGCGGATCCAGCTCCGGAAGTGCAGTCGTGGTAGCACGCGGCATCGTTCCCTTCTCCCTCGGAACTGACACGGCTGGCTCTGGTCGAGTGCCCGCGGGATTCAATAATATTGTAGGGTTGAAGCCAACCCGGGGAGCCTTGAGCACTACAGGTGTAGTCCCCGCCTGCAAAACACTAGACTGTGTATCCATCTTCGCCCTTACCGTGGAGGACGCCCAGCTCGTCTTGTCAGTGGTGGAAGGTTACGATCCAGAGGACTCGTATTCCCGCAAACGCCCAGATCGATTTCATGAACAGGGGGACAATGTCTTCGGCCACGCCGGGTCAGTCTCAAGTCCTCGATTGGCTATATGTTCCAATCCGAACTGGTTCGGTTGCGATGACCAGTATCCTGCCTATGACAAGGCCTTGGAAAAGGCCGCGTCTCTTGGTTGGATGCTAGAGCCTATTGACTTTAGTCTGCTGTTCCAACTTGCCCAGCTACTGTACTCTGGCACCTGGGTTGCACGAGGCTGTTCGATCCTTCATTCAAACCGTTGGCCCACAGGCCTTGGACCCCGTCGTTCGTGGCATAATCAAAGGTGCTGAGAAGTTCACGGCAGCTGACGCATTTGCTGGAGAGTATTTGAGACAGGATCTTACCCGACAAATTGAGTCGGCTTTTGCTAGGTTCGATGGCATCCTGGTCCCAACCACACCAACATTCCCAACGCTGGAACAGCTCTCGTTAGACCCGGTAGAGGAGAACTCTAAGCTTGGGACGTACACCAACTTTGTCAATTTCATGGACTGGTCAGCATTATCGTTTCCTGCCGGTTTTAGACCAGATGGGCTCCCATTTGGCCTGACGCTTATTGCCAACGCGTGGCAAGAGCCACAACTTCTAGAGTTGGCTCAACGGTGGTGCTCTGCGGAACCTCGAACTCTTGGAGCAACTGGAGAATGCGTCACGGAAAGGCCTCTTCCAAACCCAGTGTCACGGGTTACCCACGATACCATCCCGATCGCTGTTGTTGGTGCACACCTCACGGGCTTTCCCCTCAACAAAGATCTTACCTCTCGAAACGCGACGTTTTCTAAGCAGACATCAACGTCATCCCGTTATAGACTTTTCGCCCTCTCTTCCACGTCGGGAATCAGCAAACCTGGGCTGAAGCGTATCCCTGCTGATCAGAATGGCCAGGAAATCGAAGTTGAGCTTTGGAACCTACCCAGCTCAGCTCTGGCCGGCTTCATGCAGACCATATCCTCACCCCTCTCGATTGGGAAAATCGAGCTTCAGGACGGCTCTTGGGTCCATGGATTTGTATGCGAGCCTATTGGTCTGGAATGTGCGACAGACATCACAGACTTTGGAGGCTGGAGATCGTACAGCAGATATCTCGAAGTCCCGATCCAAAGTTCGGAGGCACCGTCCGAAAAGAAGGCCATCTCAAAGGTCCTCATAGCCAACAGAGGAGAAATAGCCGTCCGCATTATCAAGACGCTCCACAAAATGGGTCTCCAGGCAGTAGCCATCTACTCCAGTTCGGACCGTGCGTCTCCCCATGCCCGTACGGCTGATGTTGCTCTGGAACTGAAAGGCCAGACTGTCTCGGAAACATACCTCAATATAAAGCAAATAATCGAGTTGGCCAAGGCTTCTGAGGTCGACTCAGTCATCCCCGGGTACGGTTTTCTCTCAGAAAATGCCGACTTCGCAAGGGCTGTGCAGGATGCCGGGATGGTCTGGATAGGTCCCACCCCGAACCAAATGGATGATCTAGGACTTAAGCACAAGGCTCGGGAGATCGCCCAGGCTGCAGATGTACCCACTGTGCCTGGGAGCCAAGGGCTCCTGAACTCTCTGGATGCCGCCCTTCGAGAAGCCCAGCGAGTTGGTTTCCCACTCATGTTGAAAAGCACTGCTGGTGGCGGAGGTATAGGTTTGAGCCACTGCGAAGACGAAGAGAGCCTCACAGCGGCCTTTGAGGCTGTGGTCAGGCAGGCCCAGGCGAACTTCGGAAACGGGGGGTTATTTCTCGAGCGTTTCATTACACAGGCAAGGCATGTCGAAATCCAGATTCTCGGTGACGGCACTGGGCGAGCGATAGCTCTTGGTGAACGGGACTGCTCTCTACAGCGCCGTCATCAGAAGGTCGTTGAGGAGAGCCCGGCCGTAATGGTCCCCCAAGACGTGAGAGACAAGATGAAAGCTGCCGCTTTGCGCCTGGCATCGTCGGTCAAGTATTTGAACGTCGGCACGGTGGAGTTTGTTTACGATATAAATTCAGCTGAATTCTTCTTTCTCGAAGTAAATACTCGATTGCAAGTTGAGCACCCAGTCACAGAGCAGGTTACTGGGTTGGACCTTGTTGAGTGTATGATCAAGACAGCGGACGGCCGCTGGGACGAGTTGTTCCCCGAATCTCAGCAGGACGTTGCTTTGACGGGTGCATCAATCGAAGTGCGTCTTTATGCAGAAAGCCCACTTCAAAACTTCCGACCTGCCGCAGGTGAAATTACGGAATTGATATTTCCTGACAACTTGAGAGTCGATACCTGGGTTGAACAAGGCACTACGGTAACCACCGCATATGACCCTATGATAGCCAAGGTCATATCCTATGGGGCTGATCGTAAAGAGGCTCTCGAAAAGCTACTCGAGGGACTGAATAATACAAAGATTGAAGGAGTTCAGACAAATCTTGAGTACTTGCGCCAAATTCTGGCGTCGGAACTGTTTCAGTCCGGGAACTACAGCACTAAATCGCTTGACACATTTCGATTCCTCTCATCCTCATTTGAAATCGTTGATCCTGGTACATTGACGACTGTTCAGGATTATCCAGGAAGAACAGGGTATTGGAATATCGGCATTCCCCCAAGCGGTCCCATGGACAGTTATTCCTTCCGGTTAGCCAACCGGCTCGTTGGGAACCCCGCGACTGCTGCAGGGCTAGAGTGCACTCTTCAAGGCCCTACCCTCAAGTTTCACCAGGAGACTATAGTCGCAGTCACTGGAGGTGTTGTTACAGTGACCCTAGATGGCAGTATCGTCGCTCTTTCAAAGGCTATCAAGATTCAGCCGGGACAAGTCCTGCGACTTGGGGCCATTGAGCATGGTTATCGTGTGTATATTGGAATCCGCGGTGGCATCAATGTGCCTACAATAATGGGCAGTAGGAGCACGTTTGAAATCGGCAAACTTGGCGGGTTCCAAGGACGAAAGCTACGAGCGCATGATATAATACCTGTATTTCCCGCCAATACATCCGACATCGACATCAACAAACAAACAATCCGCCCTTTTCCAATCCCACACCAACCGAACGCTGAATGGTTCGTTCGAGTTATTCCTGGCCCCCATGGTGCTCCGGAGTACTTCACAGAAGATTCCGTCAAAGGTCTTTTCTCAGAGGGCTGGAAGGTTCACCACAATAGCAACAGACTAGGTGTCCGTCTTAAAGGCCCATATCCCGAGTGGGCGCGATCTTCAGGTGGCGAAGCTGGCTTGCATCCTTCCAACATCCACGACAGCCCGTACTCGGTTGGCAGCGTCAGCTTCACAGGCGATGAAGCAGTGATCCTGACCTGCGACGGGCCTAGCCTTGGAGGATTTGTCGTGTTCTGCGTTCTTGCCAGTGCAGATATGTGGAAGATTGGTCAATCCCGGCCAGGAGACATCATCCGGTTCAAACCCATCACCCCTGAAGAGGCGATGGACCTTGATAAGGAACTCGAGAGAGCGATTGAAGAATTGCGGGAACCCGATAGTATTGACACGATCCCAGATAGTGCGGTATCTCAATTGCTGCCAGCCGAACCCGTCATAGTCGTTTCCGACGAGAGCCAGAAGATACAGGCACGACAGGCGGGAGATAGGGCAATTCTTCTAGAATTCGGGGACGTCACAGGATTCGATATGCGCCAGAGCTTTGAGATATTCGCTTTTTGCGACCAGCACAGCAAGACCCCAATACCGGGAGTTGAGGAGTTGACTCCCGGCATTTCATTACACGTCCAGTATTCACGAGGCATCTCCCCGAGTACCATCATTGATCGAATCACCCAGCATGTGAAATCTTACATTGTTCCAACACAAGTCCCTTCACGAATTTTCCGCATGCCGCTTGCCTTTGACGACGAGGTATGTCGTGCCGCCATTAAGCGCTATGGAAACACCATTCGCCATGAGGCACCTTGGCTTCCGAGCAATACCAAGTTCTTGGCGGAGCTCAATGGGCTGGACACCGTCGCCGATCTGATGTACGAGGCAAGCTTCCTGGTTCTAGGCCTTGGTGATGTGTTCATGGGGTCTCCATGCACAGTCCCCATTGATCCTCGACATCGACTCTTTTCATCGAAGTACAATCCATCGCGATCCTTCACTCCTCGCGGAGCCGTGGGAATCGGGGGCCAATACATGTGCATTTATGCTACCGACTCTCCTGGTGGATATCAACTTGTCGGCAGGACGAAGGAGATCTGGGACCACGGCTGTGCTTCAACTTGCTCGGGCAGGGACGGGCTGATCGGTCACGGTGCTGAATCCCCATGGCTCTTCCGCTTATTCGACCGCATTACCTTCTACAGTGTCACAGAGGAGGAGCTTGATTCCAAATCTTTCAGCGAGCTGGTTCATGTTCAGGAGAGCGTGCTTGACCTGGTTGAGTACGAATCATGGCTGGACGAGAATCAACTAGATATTGAGTCCAGGAAGGCACAGCAAGCACGCGCCATCTCCAGTTCTCCGTTTATCGAAGACCTTGTACGCCCCTACCTGCAAGCGAATTCGAACTCGGGGAAAGACAATCTTGAGATTGGGGCCCCAGGGGAGTGGATCAAGGCGATGATGCCAGGACGGTGTTATAAGATTAACGTCAAGGAAGGCGATATCGTTCACAAAGGAGATATTCTGGTAAGTAATCAGCTTGTTTTGAAGTCCCACAAGGCTATTTGTCTAACAGGAGTTTCCTCTAGCTCTGCATTGAATCGAGTAAGATGGAGCTTGAAATCAAAAGCCAAGAGAGTGGCAGGTGTGTCGCTGTAGGTCTAGCAGTGGGTGATATAATAAGTATAAGCGATAATTTGGTCAAGATCGAAAAAGTTTAGGTTAACCAACATTTTATACACTCATCTTCGCTTTTCTATCACTGAGGTGGATTAGGAAGAAGAATCAGAGATTAGCTGATAAGCAATAATGTAGATGGAACAACATCCAGATCAGATAACCGATGCTTAAATTCTCTAATGAAAGGTAGCATGTCATTTTACCACAAAAAGAATCAGACGATTTGACGACCGCATCTAATCTCGGAAGGTTTCTCTTATCACCGACTAAACAGCGCTAATCAAACCCGGTATGCTCGACTCTCGAGGCTCAGAGTGAACAAAGCTTTTGTTCACCATTACAATCTTCCGTCAGCGCGACGTGCTTGTTGAAAGCCAAGACTCTCTACTACTTGAGGGAAAGTCAGATGCCTTTCAAGGGCTCTGTGTTGGCATGGGTTGTTTTTCAATTGGTTTCAGAAGATTTCATTAATTTGCAAGACTCGCATTTCATTCCAATAAACTACCTGGCCATGTCTCGGACTGCCCTTGAACCCTTGATACTGAGGAGCGGAGCTCAGGAGCACACGTAAGCTGATGGGCTACGAATAAAGTCCGCACGCGCGTGACCCTGACAGGGCTCGGAGTATGTACCCTTGCCGATGGGAGGCCCCCTACAGGTATTAACCTCGATCGCGTCAGTGAAATGAGAGACCAGGGTGGCTAACAATCATTCTTCCGCTCACCTAAAACATTGCATGGGTAGCGGGTTGCCTCCAACTGCAGGATACAAAGGGCCTCGTCCTTGTACGTAACAATACCTTGTGACAAGCCCAGGCTAAGGCTATGTCGAAACATTACCTTATCATCTTTTATCAGGTCAACATGACACATTGTATACTATAAATAGTCGTTGATTAGCGAATACTTGGTAGAAAGCAAACAGCGAATGCTGAACCAGTGAAGATCGCGCCAAACGTTGGACAAATGCAACCAAGTCTGCTATCAATATCTTGATAATCCCAAATGAAGTTGCGTAAATATTTCTTTGGGGAGTATGAGCAGGATTCGATGTAGAAAAACCAAAAGGGTTCAACCCAACAAGATTAGAATATATGGCGCAGTAAAACTTATTGCTACCAGCACGAGATGGATGTTCAGTGGTATAACTCAAGACTGGTACATATCAACTTCATAATATATGAAAGATTCATTAAAATATGTTTTATTTGAATTCTCATTTATTATACATATTGTACATTTGCACCTCGCATCTCAACATTTGTTCAAACGACGGAAATTGAGTTTGTTGCACGACGGGTCTAGGGTAGGGAATCGCAGAGAACCTAGCCAATTAGAGCGGTCTGGACACGACGACCAAGATGAACAGACAGGCAACAGGGACACGGCGGCCAGGGGGTCGGAAGTAGGTGATTAGTCATTATTGAACCCGAATCCCTAGCTGGAGATATTCTGCTGCGCCGTTGGCGGTCGATGGGGGTCGGGATGTGGCTTACGCCGGGCGATCGTGTCCACCACACTACGGACGGCATTTGGTTTTTAAATTAAATTATATCAAATTATATTGAACCCCAGACTCATATACGCGGCAGTCGGTGTCGATGACCAACCAGTAAGGGAGGAACAGGTCCGAAATTAATCCCGCTGCCTGATCGTGGAGCATGAGTCTGCCGTCGCGCGCGCGGTTTATTGTTATATTTGGAAAGTCACTCGCAAAGCAAGGGGTTGCCGAACTGCCGCTAGCGGTATCATGATCCCTGCCTAGAGACACTTGATGCCCTGTTCGTCCTCCGCATGAAGGATTCTAGGCTGACTCCAAAGTTCCACAATCGTGACGGAACTGCCGCTTTGGCCCTTTTTCGTTAGTAGTATGTCACCTGTATGAGTAGTGTACTTTCACAGAGGAAACACGACGGCACATCAGACCAACGTTGTGTGTTCGACAACTTCAACAAGTTGATGTTAGGTTGCTCGTCTCACAACAGAGAATCAGGCCAGGTCAGTTTCGATCGATCCATCGTCTTCATGCAAGACGGCCCGGGCGCGACCCCCTATTATGAATTCTGTCTTATTATGTTGGCTAATGGCTATTGACGGGAAGACCTGGCCTGCAGGGATCACTCGACGCGCCAGTGTCAATGTGGATCTACTGTATGTAACAATGTCGGTGGGAGAGCTTTCCATAGCACTTGGTGCCTGGCATGTCATTCAGTAAGCAGAGGATTCCCGGTTTGCACGGATGCAACCACACTTGGGCGGATGGGGACGGTCAGTGGACCACCTCTGAGGACAGTCTGTACAGACGTTTGGCGCAGCATGGCAGGCCGAGAGTAATTAATCGTTCGAAACTATTATGAAGCAGTAATATAGTGGGAGAAATAGTACGGAGGTGAACAATAGATAGGGAAATGGTGAGAGAGTGAAAGAAAAGGGGATGTAGAAGAAGATCAACTGGATGGCTTAAGAACGGAGCAGAGCGCAATAGTTGAGCACATGATTCCCAGTGATTTCGGCCCCTGAGAGGCTCTGCATATTGGTTGGATATCATCCTTCTGTAAACAGGGAATCGTTCGCGATAATACCTTCCTGAAGTGCGCAGCGTACATGTAAGCAGGACTCCGCTTCACCGGGTAATGATCAATCCCACATGTCAAGACGAGACCGTTCGGTATTCCCTTGCACTGTATGCAGCAGTCGGTAGGTAGTTCGTGGCTAAAAATAGAGTACACCATCTTCACTCTTAGCTCTGCATCGAGAAAGATAAATATACGGTTCCTGTTCGTCCATGCAGACCTCTTCTCTCGTTTCATTCATCAAACACTTTCAACTTTTCCAATTTGTCTCTTTTTTCCTTATTTGTCAATTTCCTTGATAATCTTTTTATCTGTCAAACTTCTTTGATATTCTTCGTCAATACTTAAGCTAGTCTTATCTATTCCCCTGATTTCATTCTATTCCATTTTTTTCCTAACGCATCTTTTGGAATTTATCATTCATCATGGTCGCCATCAAGCAGCTTTCCGCTATCCCCCTCGTCCTGGCTCTGTCCAGTGTCGTTGTTGCTTCCGATGCTTCGGACCTCGTTGCCCGTGACGATAACGTCGACCTCGGGGTCAGAAGCGACATCGCTTCTGAGCTGGAGGCTCGAGGTGCCGGCATGAGCAAGCCCAAGGCCGAGAAGCCCAAGCCCAAGATCTCCAAGCCCACGCTCATTGGCGGTACTAACCCTATCGCCATGAATGGCAACGCCTTGAAGCCATCCAACCACCGATCCTCAACCGTCAGTACAACCTCGAGCAACGGCGACCCATTTTACCTCGAGAAGTACGTCAAGAAGGGCAAGCGGGCCGACCTGGAGGAGCGTGGCGCCGGCATGAGCAAGCCCAAGGCTGAAAAGCCCAAGCCCAAGATTTCAAACCCAACTCTCATCGGAGGCACACACCCGGTGACTATGTCTGGCGGAAAGAGCAGCAATCGCGCCTCCAAGGCTAGTTCAACCTCCAGCCACGGTGACCCCTTCTACCTCGAGAAGTACGTCAAGAAGGGTAAGCGGGATGAGGATGTCTACGAACGTGACGAGGACGATCTCTATGAACGTGACGAGGATGACGAGCTGTTTGAGCGTGAGCTTGAATATGACCTCTACGAGCGTGATTTTGAGGACGAGCTTTTCGAGCGTGAGTTCGAGGATGAACTCGACGAGCGCGATTTCGAGGACGAGTTGTTCGAGCGTGAGTTGGAGGATGAACTCTACGTTCGTGGCGCCGGCATGAGCAAGCCCAAGGCCGAGAAGCCCAAGCCCAAGATTTCCAACCCAACTCTCATCGGAGGCACTCACCCTGTGACCATGTCTGGAGGCGGCAAGAGCAGCAACCGCGCCTCAAAGGCCAGTTCAACCTCCAGCCACGGCGATCCCTTCTATCTCGAGAAGTACGTTAAGAAGGGAAAGAGAGGCCTGGGCGCCCGCGGTGCTGGCATGAGCAAGCCCAAGGCCGAGAAGCCCAAGCCCAAGATCTCTAACCCAACTCTTATTGGAGGCACACACCCTGTGACTATGTCTGGAGGTGGCAAGAGCAGCAACCGCGCCTCCAAGGCCAGTTCAACTTCTAGCCACGGCGACCCCTTCTACCTTGAGAAATATGTCAAGAAGGGTAAGCGAGGTCTGCGTGCTCGCGGTGCCGGTATGAGCAAGCCCAAGGCTGAGAAGCCCAAGCCCAAAATCTCCAAGCCCACGCTCATCGGAGGCACTCACCCCGTGACCATGTCTGGCGGTGGCGGAAACCGTGCTTCCAAGGCCAGTTCCACCTCTAGCCATGGTGACCCCTTCTATCTCGAGAAGTACGTCAAGAAGGGCAAGCGAGGCCTGCGTGCTCGGGGTGCCGGTATGAGCAAGCCCAAGGCCGAGAAGCCTAAGCCCAAGATTTCAAAGCCGACCCTCATCGGAGGCACTCACCCCGTGACTATGTCTGGCGGTGGTGGAAACCGTGCTTCCAAGGCTAGTTCAACCTCCAGTCACGGCGACCCTTTCTACCTCGAGAAGTACGTCAAGAAGGGCAAGCGGGGTTACTAGATCCCTCAAGTTCAAGATTTGGGATCCTTGTACTAAATGTACCTGTATATAACGTAGCTACAGTTCGTGGCTAGTGGCTGATCGATGCTTTGGATATGTTCCAACTGTACGCTAGATAAAAAATGTGTTTGGGTTTGGTCTATCTGGAATAGAATATATTTTATTTGCGAAAAAATAATGAGACTTGTGCATCATGATCGTGAAATTGAATGCATGAAAAGAGAGTGATGAACTCAGTCATTGGCAAAGTTCATAGTAGCTGGTGGTGGCTGTCCTTTCCCCCCTTTTTCTTGTTCTTCCCCCATACCCCCTGAATTCATGCTCGAGGGCCCGAAGTATATTAAGATAGTAAACAAGTCTTAATTGGACCAATGTACAATCGGTGGCTTGGTTATTTCTATGTTAGAGAATACATAGTAAAACGAGCCCCCCTGGGGAACTCATTTCAATATCAAATCGAAATTATGTTGTGATCTCTGCCGGGTTATTGTGGCGGCCATTTGATCAAGAAGTTTCCAAACTGCCTGTAAGGTGTAATTCTACTTAGGATAGAGCGCTCATTAGAATTATACCAGAGGAAGGTTTACACCCGAAATCGAATTTAAATGTACGCTGGCATGAGACTTTCGCGGTAATGACAGTGGTTATATTGTTTTCTCTGGTAAAGACCTAGGTCAAGCTACCATACATTTTTAAAGGAGGAAGACATTTTCGCCTCTGTTTCAAAATTGGCTCATGTTGAATGACACCAGATGAGGTTCTTCCTTTGGCTGTTCGGTCCCCACGTTCTTATCCTTTGCATCCATCCAAAGAGACACGGGGGAGTGGCTATTTAGACATATCTATAGCAATAATGCTCAAATGGGGAGACAGTCTCTCCAAACAAAACATCTGGCCCGGTACTGAGCATATATAGCACCGTCTCAAGAGTCGCAGCCGCAGAGGGTGGGATATTGCGGAAGGTCACGGTGCCTCCAACCTGGTTTTTGCGGGTATGGTAATCCTGCCCTTGCCAAATGGACCAGATGCGATCAACTTGGCTATGTAGGAGGAAGAAAACAGGGTCATTGGGTGAAGAATACCAATCATAGCCGTCGGCGCCGAGAAATTTATGCGATGCTGGATGCATCTCCTCTTGATCAATGGCGGCACGAAACTCGTCGTATGTAGTCGTCTCAAGCAGATCGGCCGCTTGTTGATACGTCAGGTGAGCCGAGCTTTGAGGTTGAAGGAAGTCGCGCTTGAGACATCGTGGATTGCTTTTGAGACCATACGGATCATCCGCTGGGGTATCTGCCGGAACGACTGGGCCAAGGTTGAGGGTGAGATCGGCAAAGGCGCCATCGACGACACAGCCACCACCAGTGCCAGCAGCTCGGTCCACCCAGATGGGTCCGGGGACATCGACGAGAGTGTCGTTGCTTGCTTCGTGTGGGATGTAGAGGCCGTTTCCGCCAAATCCTGCTGGTCCCGAGTCAAAGACTGGCGAACCAGCCTGGTCGTCTGTGTGGAGGAACCAGTCCCAGTAAGGCAGACCAGTTCCCTTGAAGCCGCACTCATCATAGAGCGCACTCTCATAATTCCACATGAACTGTCTGTGCCAGGGGAGGAAGATTCCGGAACCGTGGATGAAGTTTGTCTGGTTGATGTGACTGTAGACGAAGTCGTCCACCCGACTCTTCGCGCCAGGCGCAGCAAGCGGATCAGTCGTAGACGGGAGCGAGAACAAGCATTTTACCGCACGTATGTACTCGAGCCGTTCAGCTGTTGACAAGTCGTCCCACCGCTGGCGCGTCCGAACAGTCCTTTTGTTGCAAGAACCATTTGAAGTAGTGGCGTTGGCGAGGAACTCTTCAGCAAACTTTTCATAGCTCAGTTGCGCCTCAGCCCAGACACCCTCTGGATCATTTCGAGCTCCGTTGGCAGCTGTCGTGATGCTGACAAGTCCTGCAAAAATTGAAAAGGTTGATGGTTTCATCGTTTCGGGAATGCCAAACTTGGGTATCGATACTGTTATAAGTGAGTTTATCTGAAAGTGATGACTGGTGAAAGAGTGCTCCAAGAATGTTGAAAGCGACAGACGAGAACATCTTATATTCCACAGGTAGGTCTAACATATGACAACCCTCCTCATTTTGATACGGGCTACCTTCCTCTTTGGCGGTGTAAGTTAGCCTTCCGGTAATGCATCTTACGACCTCGAAGCCTGTCAGCCTGGGCCCAGTATACCGTTGCGCCGTCTTGCTTCGCACGTTGGGTCACGATGTGATGTGTTCCTTCGTACTGGCCATGGATACCCATTCTACCTCCTTCAGGGTTTGTACGAGATTTTCCAAAAAGGGCAGCCGGCTGGGTTTCTTTCGATGACGCGTACCCGGCAGTGCTCTGACAGGGTTGTGGGACAGTACGAGACATGATCGTGAGAGTGAGAACGATCGACAGGAGACCTAGTAGCAATTTTCTCTCCAATATATAAGTGTGTTATGCATAATTGATGAATATTAAATGCTTTTTACTTGACCTAGTCAACGTTCGCGATTATTGAAGCTGGGAAAGAGCATATTTTGCGAACGACCGTAGCAGGTCTAGATACGTGTACAGAAGAGTCACCTTTCTTTTAACTATCGCCCAGTCCATGATTAGATACTGCAAGAGATTGAAAACGGCATGAAAGTAGCGGCCTGGATATGGAGCTGTTCCTCGTGTAAGTGATATTCAGTACTTGCACTACCACCACAAATTCTTACTTAAGCCGCGCTCTAAGTGCGTTCGTAATCGGCTTGTCGTTTGTCAATGCATCTTCCTTGTGTCTGGGTGTTAATGCCTCAATCACAATTCGTATTAGAAATTTGATTTTGCCTAATTATGCCTAAGCGCGGAAAGTAAAGGATAAGGAGTATTCTGTATCTCTTTGTGTCGCGTTGCTCTGATGAGACCGACCTATTCGTGTGGTCTTAACATCACCGCTGTGAATCTTAATCAAGACCTGACTTCAATTAGGCTAGGAAGCATCTTGATTTCACTCTCATTAAACATAAGGCCATCCTGAAGGTTGGTACTTTTGGTACAGACTCATCCAACCAGCGACAAACCATCATGCGAGACGACGTTCACTTCATCTTTCTTCCTTCCATTTCATCGATTAATCTCGGAGGGGGCTTTTGAAAAAAGAAAGGGGAAAAAATTGAAAGGCCCTGCTAGTAAGCTCTCTGATGGTCTGAACACTAAGCATTCGGGGAAACCTCAAATGCTTGCTGCAGGATTTACAATAATCCCGCTTTGATAAAGATGCCGTCGTTCGACTTTGGCTCGTTTCTCAACTCTCTGGTTGTAATAACCTGAGATGAATTCCCGTCAAATACGAGATGGCCCATTTAAAATAGATCCGCAGTTTTCTGGTGCTTTTCTAGGCGAGGCAGATTCCGCTGAAGCGACACAGAAAGTTCCCTGCAAGCCCCTGAGGGTACCGTACCGGCAGTTGGATTTGACTCAGAACCCCTGATTTACTTTAAACGGATGCCGATGGCCATTATTAAGCGGGAATACCTGACTATGTATGGGGCTAAGTTCGAGTTCAGGCCTATATCTCACGTCAGCCTGATGGAAGTGCGCCGACTACTGCGCCACAGGGGCTCTTGTTGAATGTCCTACCCGGGGAACACGTATACAAAGCATCACCTTCAGCGTGTTTGTCGAGAAGTGGCTTGCAAGATAATCGCATTGAAACTCTTTCTGTGCTAGTTCAAAGGAGACCTTTACCACCACTGTTCTCCCTTACTCACCGCAGGATATACCCTCGATATAACTAGGGCCTTCTGTCCCCCGCAACGTATGACTGATAGTTGTGGTAGCTATCGCAACTGCGTAAGTTCTGTCCTCTGCTCAACTGCATTCAAGACGCTGTTTATTTGGCCAACTGGTGATTTACAAAGATATTCTCTGGCCATATGTCTTCTGATTACTATGCAGGTGTAGGACCAACATCTAGAGCTGGTTCTACATTATTCGAGACTAGAGATAAGTTTTATCATGACAAAATGCCAAAATTTCATTTCAAACGGTACCTCGATCAAGTGGCAGTCACTTTTTTCTTTTGTCAACTGGAACATCAGCTGTTTCAGAAGAAGGTATGAATACGAAAACGAAGTCCACAGTTTTGTGATGAAAAAAAGCGAATCTCTGCTCTGCCATGACTACTGTGACGATAATGTCGTGATTGGTAGATAATGCTTCCTGGAGCCACAACTTTCTTGTTCTGCATGTCATTGCATTTGCGTGAAAGAAATCGCATCTCGATAGATTGAAGTGACTGGAGTTTTCTTCTAATCCGGATTGTTTGAATGCTTTTGATTTTCGATCAATAAAGAATTGCGGGTTCATCCGAAAGTTTAAAGATGATGGCCCTTTAAGATGAGGTACTGCCGAAGCAAAAAGCAGAAATACGAACATTTGCAATGCAAGACGATCCAGGCCACAAGTTGCTGTGGGTTAAAGGGTACTGCAGACTGGGGCCGCGTGCTGACTCGCCGATGAGGCAAACACAATAGGTTACTATCATAGACTATAAAACCTTATTATAAGCCGGTGCATGTAGAAATAAGAAAGATCCTCAACCATGGCCAGATAGCATTCGCTGGATAGCACCTCCTGGCCGGGCACTGCCAGCGCACTAGTCTCTCGGCAATCAACTTTGACGGGCGTTCGGTCCCGCCTACAACTCCTGCTATCCGACGTTCGAGTTCGTTTTCGGAACGGCAGAGTCAGCAAGGATTAACGAGAATGGTTAGTTCATGGCAAGTGGCGAAACCCAAACTAGAGTTGGCTTAGATATTCGAGACTCCAGGCCAGGTTGCTGGGGCGCTTGGTGGCCTATGCTGCTGACCTCCCCGCAACTGGTTCTTGTCCTAGGAACTTGCCGCTCAGTTGCTGACAGTCTCCTAGCCGAATCGATAGCACCAATGGCTGCCGGTTGATTTGTCAGGAGCCAATCTTTGACCATAAACATCCACACCTGCCTTACAATTTATGGTTAGATACTGTGCCTTTCTCAACTGTCAATGGGCTTACGTCCCAAAAGCTCGCTTTCATGCCATCAGAGATGGAGAACACTACACTCATTTACGCTCTCTTGGGCATCTGCTCTGCAATCCTGGTGGTCGCCGTTTCCCGCGTTGCCTACCCAAAACCATATCCGGGCATCCCGTACAATAAGCAGTCAGCGAGCCGTATTGCGGGTGATATCCCCGATCTGGTTCCGGTAATCTCAAGTACCAATGAGTTTTCAAACTCCATCTTCACGATAACGACGCAGAAGTTGGGCTCGCCAATTGCCCAGTTTCTTTTCCCTGGCATGCAAAAACCTCTTATTGTTCTGGAGGATCCTCGCGAGATTGAAGATATTTTTCTCCGGCGCAACAAGGAATTTGATAAAGCTCCTATGACCATCAATATCTTCCAACCCATGTTCCCGAAAGGCTCTCTTGCCCAGTACACAACGCCCGAGCTTAGAGCCCAAAAGCGACTATGGGCGGACGTTATGACCGCTAGCTTTCTTCATAGGGCTACCGCACCAAGAATACACAAAGCTGCACTCGAGCTCGTGGAGTTATGGCGCCTGAAAGCGACTACCATCTGTGCCAACAAGCCCTTCCCTGTTCTTGATGATATATTAGACACTACGCTTGATGCTATCTGGTCATCGGTACTTGGTGACGAGGCCGGAACGATGGACTACTCGATCAAAAAACTCCAGAGCGAACTCGATAGCAAGCCCCGAGACCTCACACCACCGCGAGGGACCTTTATCCGGGAGCAGGTGGACTATATTTCCAACACTATTTCTCAAGTGTCCAATACCCCTTTGCCCAAATGGGCGGGGAAGATCGTGACGTACACTCCCCGTTATCGGAAGTTTCGCCGAACAATCACAAGAGAAATTAGTTCACTCATGAAAGCTGCTGTTGAAAAGTTCCAGAAACTGGAGCTCGAGAGTTTGGACAATGGTGACGCAGATCAATGTATGATGGATCTAGTGCTACGCCGCCAAGTGTTACAAGCAAAAAAGGGAAATAGCCCCCTTGTTGACCCAACGAAAGATGAGAGTATGCTTGATGAATTATTTGTTCTTCTTGTTGGAGTACGTTTCCCATTTATGTGTCAGCACTACCAAGGATTACTAACAACTCACTCTTCTTCGGTAGGGCCACGACTCAACAGCAAATGTATTGACTTGGTTCATCCGATTCATGGAGGCGTATCCGGCTGTTCAGACTCAACTTCGGAAGGCCCTCAACACCGCTTTTCCAGGAAACAAGGTGCCATCTGCTGAGGAGATAGTCCACTCAGATATACCGTATCTCGATGCTGTGATCGAGGAAGGATTCCGATTTGCGGGTGTTGCTAAGGCAAGTCTTCGGCAGGCTCTTGTTGATACATCAATCCTAGGCTGTCCAGTACCGAAGGGTGCGGAGATTATCATGAACTATCATATAAACCGGCCGCCTATTCCTGTCGATGAATCCAAACGTTCTGAGACCTGCCGAGCAAATGTCGTCAAAACTGGGGATGGACTTCAAGGAAGGGCAGGCTTTGATCTTGATAAGTTTGATCCCGGGCGATATATAATCAAGGATAGAGAGACAGAGAAAGAAAGATTCAATCAGCATGCTCTACCCTCGATAGCATTTGGAGGAGGCTACAGAGGTTGCGTTGGTAAGTTCAGTTTTTGCGGCTGCACACTCAGTCATCTTCTTTTTATAAAGGTTGGCCGTTAACCTGGTCTAGGGAGAAAACTTGCCACTCTCGAGTTCCGGATTGTGATCACGCTTCTAGTACTCAATTTCGAATTCGTGGATCTTCCGGAGGACATGAAGAGTATGGCAGCCACAGAGAAAATCTTCAGACAGCCCGAAAAGCCTTTTGCTAAGCTCAAGGTTTTGTAATCAACTTGTCAATATCGATCGCATGGAATTGACAAATGAATTTAAACCTTACACCCTCGCGCTTGAAGCAGCTTGTGCTTGATTCGTGATGAATATGAGTCGCTACCTGGGTCAGCCAATTAAGAGCTGCCAAGTAGTTTGGCTTACCTAGTTCAACCATGATAGGATGATGCGACTTTCGCTTGCAAGTGTGACAAGTATGATGTGCCTACAGCCACATAAATGTATGAGGCGTCGCGTCCTGCCAGGCTGACATTATTGCCGTAATAACAAACCCTTTCCCCCCCCGTCCGTGTGCTTACAGTCTTCTTTTCCTGTCATCGCAACTTTCCAGCTTCTTGAACATCGCCCGGCATAGATCACTTGGAGAAGGGAGCCGAGCAACTGGCACGCCCAGACCGAGGCTAGAGGCTGGGCCTCCACCAACTGGAAAATTGGCGTCAGCACAAATTTGACCTTGAATCACTGGGAAAGATGTCGATCCAAATGCCGAACCTTGCCGTGCAGGGCGGAGTAACCGGTGCAGAAAACGTCCCTGAGGACATCACGATAGCTATCTTTTGTGCTCTCTCATATGAATTCGCTGTGGTAAAACACTCGCTGGACGAAAAACTCTCATTCTGTCCCAGTAATGAAGGACCACTAAAGTATGCCTATTCTTTTGGCCGCATTGGAGAGCACAAGATCGTGATGGCGCAACCTCATCAACTCAATGGCAACCGGGTTATACCTTGATTCCATAGGAAAGGTAATTCTTACATCCCCAGAATGGATGAGAGAACGAGCGCGGTGATCTGGCAGAATGTAGTCACAAGATGTACAAGTAGTCATAGCCTCGTTGGGAGCCTCGTTGGGAGCCTCCATAACCTCATCACTAGACGAGGTAGGGATACTGGTACTACCCATATCATCGACATCCTGCTGGTCGGCAGCAGTGGATGAGTGAATGGCAGATGGAGAAGAGCGTTCCTGTTCACCTAGAGTAGGAGCATCCGAACAATTGGTGTTAGGATGGTCGACGGGTGAGGCTTTTCTATCTCTTAACTTTAGCTCAGAACCATATCAGAGAAGCCAGGGGAGGCTAACCATATTCGAAATGTGCTGAAATGTTATACGCTATGAGCTGTCAGAAAAACAGGGACGATAAAGTCACCTTAATAGAATTATTGTGGCAATCGTCACATTATAATGCTTCTTTTTGTTTCCTATTGTGTAATAGTAAGCAGACAATATTGCCTAGTAATTGCTCAATACATTATTATTGTTATCATCATTAACTAGTATCTGTTAATTTTGTCGACTGTATTGGAAAGATGAAATTAAAACACACACCTCCTTTGCAATCCCTGTTATTCTGACACCCACTTGGCATACATAGTAATATAAACGCATATGGCAGCTCCACACACTCTTCAGCTCCAGCCTATCAAAGCGACTATTTTCGCGCCACCAACAGGGTGACTGCAACCAACAACATAATTAATAAGATGTGCAGCCAACGAGGTTTTGTTGCTAGGCTCACGTCAAGGCTTGTTGGCTGTGCCGCGTCTGGCCTGGCACCCCCCATCACTTCTCGCCCCTGTCGCGTTTCTCGTCTCTGAGCCTTCATCCCCTCCCATCAACGGACGAACACCCTCAGTACGACTCTGTGACAAGGCAAATAGCCGCATAGTGCTGCGCCCTGTCTGTCTGGAAATGGCTACCGATCAGGGCGAAGGGAGCTCGGTGCCTCCCGCCACTGCCACGGAGGTGGAGCGAGTCTTTGCCGAATGGGAAGAATGCTTCCACAGGCATAAGCAGGAGCTACAGGCGCTGATGTCACCACAACAAGAATACCAGGCGAAGGTTGACGCTATTGACGCCCGGATAACGCAGTGGTGGGCTGCATACGGCGAGATGTCTAGCGCTCAGAGGCAACAGGAGCGGGATAGCCTTGGGCTGTTGTTCGTGGAAAAGTCCAGCCTTGCTGATCAACATCGGCAGACACTGGAAGCTCAACAGGCGATGTATGAAGGGCGACAAAGAGAAGTCTTTCAGCGACTACACACGACCATGGAGGGCCTAGTGAGCGTTGGCTTGCCCGATAATAGAAAGCGGGAACACGCAGAGTCTCTTAACAAATCAAAGGACAGTGGCAGTCAAATTGAGCACACCGCCAGGGAGTCTAACTCAGAAGCCGAAGCCGAAGATGATGCTGTGGAAACTATCAGAGATTCTGAGAGTGTCTCCGATGATGATAATTCTCAAGAGGATGATTCTCAAGAGGATGATTCTGAAGAGGATACTTCTGAAGATGAGAATTCTGAAGATGAGAATTCTGAAGATGAGAATTCTGAAGAGGATGATTCTGAAGAGGAGGGACATCCATTTACGGCGAAAGCGAACACAGAAAAGGGTGTATGTTGAATCCGCCAGTATTGATATGTTTGAAATTAGAATTTTTCTAAACTGGACACAGATAAAGCGCCCTCGCCCTGATGCCGAACTCTCGCCAACAAGAAAGAGACCCCGCCAAGGCGAGCCATATAGCTCCCAGAAGACAATTCAATTCCAGGAAGTTTACGAAAACAGCCAGGCAGGTGACAAGGAAACCATTGTGCAGTTTCCCAATGACACAGGGCTGTGGTATATCGTTCGCTGTATGGAACATAATCTCAAGTTCGGAGGCTCGAAGCCTCTTCAGGATGCCTGGCGACATCTTGGCTTGGACCACGATAAACTCTCTCGGTCTTATGACAAAATAATTAAGCACATGGGAGTACAGGTTCTGGGTTGCGGAGAAAAAGAGGCGAAGATGAACAACGCAGCAGCGAAAGGCGGTGCCAAGGCCAAGAACATGCCTGACAAGCCACAGAAAGAACCTATGCTTGAAACAGAAGAGCAGAACGAGGAAGTACGCAAACGACGCTCGAACAGGAGTTCTCGATTTTCCACTGGTGGCCGTTTCGGAGTCCGCGCCGCCAAAATTCTAGGTACTAAAATGCGAGGACAACGGGGACGACCTCGAGGACGACCCCGAGGACGACCCCGAGGGCGTGGCCGAGGGCGCGGCCGAAGCGAAACCATGTCGGGGAGAGCTCGATCAGGAGGCCGTGGAGGTGAATCCATAGACGATACAGTACAAGAAACACTAGGACCCGGTTGGAGGCAGGTTGGCTCTGTTTTTCGACACGGACCGGAGCCCTCTCGTCGTCGGGCGCCCCGAGCGGAGCGAGATGCTTCAGAGGAAGACAACACGTATGTACGTCGGGCGCCTGGAAAGGTGTGCCTGGCGTACTTTGGGGACAATGCTGTTATGACTCCTATTCTCATTTTGCCTCTAAACGACATGGAGTCTATCGGAATTAACGAGAACCTCGCCACCCTTAATCTGGACCAAGATATGCCCAAGTGCTGTCAATTCAGCTCGCGCTCTCAGAAGTATCAATGGGCACGAGGATATGAGGACGATGGGAGGCTCGAATCAAATCGGGAATATCCAGTCCTATGCTTGACTAGCTCCCAACTCAAGAAATGCCCGGCTTCATGGGTTGCCGGTAGCGACATGATCAGTATTCATGATGATGAGGTGGGATGGAAGCTAAACCATCACTACCATGAAGCATGCGACGTCCTCCGCAAGATCAAACCAAGGCAATCAGAATCATCAGCCAGGAATACAAACGACATCCAAAATGATCAAGATACAGCTCCATTTTTGGAGGGGGACGACGGTATGAGCACAAGCCTTCCTGAAAAGCCCAACTCAAATCCTGAACCTGAAAGGTCAACTCAGCAAGAGACATCGCTTGACCCGAACGGTGGACCTTTTTCTGATGAAACAACATCTGAAAATGTAGTTCATCAAAATGAGATTGAGAGTGGATCAGAAACGCGTAATGCTGAGAACGGTACGGCTTCCAAGAATGCATCATCATCCTTTTCGGCCCAGCCAGGCCAAGCACAGCACGAGAGCGGTGGTTTTGAAGAATCCTACTTGGAGAACCTCGCCCATACTAGCCTCAACTATGCTCCTAACAAAGTTAGCATGATGGAAAGAGTGAATTGTGAGAAAAATAGCCCTTCAGAAGCTGCTACTGCCCGTTTTACTTATCTGTCTATAGCAACGGAACACCCTAGCAAGCAACAAGGAGAGGATCGCCCTTCACCTTCAACCACTCCTCCGATCGCAGAAGCCCAAGGTCCTGGAGGGGTGAAGATATCTCAACCTCGCCCTACATCAAACCTCCAATCGGAGACTCAAGACAGTGGTATATCTGCGAATTCCGAAACTTCGTACAACGTGATGGGGCCGAATGGACAAGAAAGCTCCGCTCGCACCCCAGCTCAACTTGGAGAGATGTTTAATGAGATTGAGCGTCATATGGCAGAGAAACAAATACGTGTTCCTTGGGCTTCTGGGTCGGCAAATGGTAACACAAATCCAATACTCTCCCCCCAGGCTTCAACGTCAGCGCAGTCCTACCAATCATTTTCAACGGATACGTACCCGCACCCACCACAGACCAATAGCCATCAGATGCCCTCTTCCCAGCATACATATCATTCGCCAGCACAGGAAACAAATTTCTCTTCGACCCTTCCTCCCTTGAACCCCTCGACCCGAACAGACCTATGGCTTCCCCCCTTGACAAGCAGGGCAGGACACGAAATCCTTTCTCCTCATAATACGGTGGCTGGTGCTACTACTCACCAGGGAACTACGACATCTCCTCTCCAACCCGGAATACCTCTCCAAGAGAGTCAACCAGGCCAATATCACGTCTTGTCGGATGATTGGCGTCAATTTGAACCTGGCCCCCTGCGTGACGACCTCGACCACTGGGTGCAGCAGTATAACCGTAGTCCTGGAATTGGGAGCTTGATGAAAGAAAAGGATGGGTTTTTCTGTCCCTTCTGCCCACCAAACATTCAAATGACATTTCCACAACCCTGGGATATCGTTAACCACTTGCTGAAAGTACATCCGACGGGGTTCTGGGTAAGGACCGCACAGACTAACTAGTCAACTAGGCTATGGCGGCTTTTGTAATTAGTATATTTAATAGACGATGAGTTGGAAAGCGACTGGCTAAACGTCAATCAACTGGCAGTGTCATATATTATTGGTTCAATATAGGGCCAATTCAAGGAGACTCGGCTGCTCGTTGTAACTTGAGATCAAGCTTTTATGATCGAGATGCCGCCATGAATGTCTAACGTTCTAAATTGCTACCCGGAGAGGTTAAGATTGGTTTTGAGTTTATTACGAGAACGAAAATGGCAGAAGGTTAACTCCGACAATCCCTTCTTAAACGCCCTTTACTTTAGTTCTGATTTAAGAAAAAAGGAGGCTTTAAGAAAGACGCATGGTGGATCGAAAGGCATTCAAGGAAAGGAGATGGAAGCTCATATATTTTATATCTCGTGACATTCTCTCGCGCGGGCGAGCCTCGTGCCGTGCTCCGCCCGGGCCGAGAGCAAACCAGCGAGCTTTGAGCACCATGTTGGCCGATCATTCAGCGGCTTCGCTCGCCGGTAGAGATGCGAGCTGTGGCTTTCCATCCTGATGATCGTGCTCTAGTATTTGCCCGACTGCATCTCACCGCTCTCCTGGATTCCACAAGACCTACCTTTACGATAACAATTGTTTACTAGACTTGCGTATTGATTCATCATTCAGGCCACCAGTTGGGATGCGGCTCGGATTGATCACAGCTGCACCGCCTTTTGAGCTTCCCTGCTGGCAACTCTGTTTTTCACGATAGTTTACTTCGGGGCAGAGGTTATATTTGATTGAATAACTATATGTTTATTGTGAGGATTTATCAAGCATGGGACGCCATACATATGTCCACGTATGTTAAAGCGAAGAATAATAATGTGCAATTTTCTCACTCGCTGACATCACTTGCTGATTCATCGGCCAAAAGACGAACATGACATGTCGCAGGCCGCAAGGAACGGATCATCATAAGAGGCTATCAAAAGACTGTAGACCAAGCTAGGCAAACAACGGCGATGCACGGCCTTCGACTGCTACGCCAAGGACCATATGGCAATCTGGCTACTACAGTACACGTGGCCACAATTGGCGAGCATTCTTGGGGTTTCTATTGGCCTTTGGTTTCTTGCTGCGCCGTAGATGCCCAATAGGCCTGAGGCCCAAGCTCACAGCGCATAAGAATAGCCGGCCGTGAAGTCATGCTTATTCACAGGCATCTGCTGCTCTCGCCAATTCAACCGCCAGTAGCTGGAAAGGCAACACGCCATCTCTGAATTCTATTCATCACTGATAGGAGAGAGAAGGCCGCCAAAATGGGCAGATCACGCGCGATGAAAAGAAGGGCCAAGAGCAAAGCACTGCACCAGCCACTGTCGGATTCTCGCCATGCCCATCTAACCTCTCTACCAATGGAGATCCTTGAGATGGTTGTTGAGAACGTAAGCTCAAAACACAAGGGATCTTTTTTTACATCTGGCTGATTTCATCTAGATCACAGACTCACCTACAATGGGGAAGTTGAGCCGCACAAGCAAGACCTTCTACGCACTAACAGCACCGCGCCTGCACAGGCGAATGATGGTTCTTGAAGCCTACCATTCGCGACTCCTGAAGCTGGCCAGAGCCCTCGACTCCCATCTAACCATGACACAGAAAAAGCAACTTGAAAAGAAGTTTGCTAAATATCAAGGCCACAAGCAGGGATATCCAGACCGCACCGACCAGCATGGGCTGCCCCAATGTGCATCCTTCGTCCGCGAGCTCATTGTTGGGTCTTTCAGCTTGGGCCACGAGCATGAAGATATTATCAACCAGTATTTGGGAAATGCACTGGACAATTGGAAGAATCTAGAAATAGTAGAAATTGGTTATCTGACAAAGTAAGTCAGCCTCAAGTACAGCAACGGCCACTTGGTGCACCCTCACACTCTTTTCAGGCCCATTGCAGAGAAGATAGCGTCGCTCGAAAGGCTGAAGGCTCTTTCTATAAGCACAAACGCGTTCAGTGAAACCGCCGTCAAGTCGCTGGCCAGAATCCAGGGCTTGCAACATCTCAGCTTGATTGAAATGGATAGTCATCAGCTTGCACCTGGCGAAAGCGTACTTGGTAGTCTTATTCACAATTCAAAGTCGACTCTCAAGAGCCTTCGAATAATGGACACAACATACACAACCTCATTTCTAAATCACTTGAGAGAAACGGTGCCGACTAGCAAAGGGTCTTCGGATGCCCGACATCACGCTTTCTCAGCCCTGAAATCACTCACCTTGGAAGACACGGCTCTGGACACAGAGGTGATCCGTCACTTGAAGGATTCGTTTGATTTCCTGGGACTCGACCAGCTTGAAATCAGGCGAGGAATTGGCGCATCCGAGCTGTTTTTCCAAACACTCGCGAAAATGGCTACCACAACTTCACATATTCGCCTAATGACCCTATTCCTAACGCTTTCTAGCGTCAGCAACAACGAGACAGATGAAGAACTACAGCAACCAGTTACGATGACGCAGCAGCATAAGCCACTCATTGAAGTGAAATGCCGATTCATCTCAGCGTTTACCACGCTCACATCGTTGGAACTACATAATGACTCACGACACATGATCGATACCACCGCGGACCCAGTCATCGAACAGCAGGTCGTGCAGGCTATTACCCAACATAGGGGCCTGAAAATACTGAAGATTTCATATGGTGAACTTACAAGTAACCGTAGAGTATCCTATTTGTCCGCAAGATCTGTGTCAGCTCTTGTCAACAACTTGCCTCATCTTGAGGAGATCGAATTCGCCCCGGAAGAAAACGAAATTGTGAGAAGAGGCCCCAATCATCCGCTTAAGCCACATTTATCTAAAGGGGATGAACCAACTGACTCTCAGAAATAGGAAGACATTGGTATTGCGCTGTCGCATGCAGCTAAACTAGAAGTCCTCACATGCTACCCCCACCGCAGCCAGCGGCGCTTTCCCTTCAACCCTGCTCCGGGACGGATCATTCTTGACGGTGTTATCAAGGCATTCCTATCCCGCGGCAGTGAGGATAGTGACGAAGGTAAATTCATATGGGGGGACTGCTTCAAACTGAAGAGCATATCCGTCAAATATCAAATGTGGGATGTAGGTTCAAATCTGGAGAGAACACGGCGAGGAATGAAGAAGGCGGAAACAATGGTTAGCACAGATGGGAAACGCCAGGTGATGTGTCGTGAGGTTCGGGGATTGAAGCGCCCCTTTTCAATGACCTTTGGTCATGACCCGGAGTACACGTGGGTGAACAAAGTAGCCGAGGATATTAAATATACCTAGGTGATAGATGAGGAGGCTTATAGGATACTCAACTTTCAACATAATCTAGCCCCTAGTAGTATGCGGCTTTTGGTGTATTTGAAAGCGGCGGTTGTATGTGTTGGAAGTTTACTGGTTCATTATCTGGAATGGCAATTGTAATTACTTATTCAGAAGCTTTACTTTTCTCTTCAACTATCACTAGTCAAGTCGATTATCAGAGGTTTGATGGCTTTAGTTGAACTTTCTACTCCATCTTCAGAATGCCTTCTCTTTCTCACCAGTGGGAGCTGATCGCCATCATCCAAGCCGAAGGATGAGTATCGTTTGAAATGTGGGCTTTCCGGCAACGGCGGTGTAGACATGATGTCAAGGCGCGACGGCCCAGCGACGGGGCCAGCCTCAGGTGCATCATCGGCCATGCTTTTGCACAGAGCCATCCTGAGCACTTCTCTCATCCAATCCTGCCATCCTTCGCCCCAGTGGCTCTCATGAAACATGTGCTCCGTACACACCAGGCAGAGATTTTCGATCTTTTCTTGTTCCTTCTCGCCCTGGGGGCGGCTTCTGAAATTATATGGCATCAAGGGCGGGGTTTCTACAGATGAGTCGGCCCCCTTAATTCCAGAACCATCGAAACTGGTCCCTTCCACTTTCGCCTCGTATAGAATCTCGGGTTCGTCATCTCCGGAGTCAAGCTCGCCTCCACAAAGACAGCAGCAGGCATTTCCTAGCAAAATGCTCTGCCTTGCGAGGCGAGCCCACTCCAAAGCCTCAGCCATGATCAGCTCCTTGACAAACTTCTTCCGTAAAGAAGGGCGCGCCTGGTTATTGGCCAGGCGAGGATCCTGCCACGGGTTGTACTTCCTTTCGAACATGGTGCGTCCAGTATCAAAGGGTCCCCTTGGAGAGCCCTGTCGTGATGGCGGGGGAAAGCCAAGATCGCCAAGCCACTTGGAGAAACTGGCATCTCCATACGAGAAGAAGACTCCATAGTTGTTTCTCAAGTTCCAAATATCTCGATAGATATTCCAGGTTCTGAGCTTGAGGTTCCCATTGTCGCGGGTAGTATGATAAACATCATGGTCTTGGAATGTGGTGGTTATGATTCTGGCCAGATCGGTCACGCCCGGCGGCTCCTTGTAGAATTCATTGAGATACACGCAAAGGCTGGGCACGCCCTTCACCTCGCCCTGGCGGTGGAGACTTCCGTGCACCAGAACAGTAGAGCTTCTGGACCAGCGTAGCTGGTGGTCAACCGCTAATGGTCGGGCAAAAGCGGCGGTGGAAGTTTTGGTTTTCATCTGGACATCGACAGTTGTCGAGAGACGGAGAAATGGCAGGTCCGGCTCCAGGTCACCCCTCTTGTGCTGCTTATATGTATAATTGACGAGCTCCCAGACCGTGGCATCACATTTCTCGAACCGGCCCAGAAACTGGCTCGCCACAGATGACAACTGGTAGTCGTCTAGATACACGCAGACCCTGGAGATGCAGCAAGACAGGTTATCTGCGGCGCTCAGGTCCTTGAGCTGTGCAACCTTATCAACCACCCAGCTGAAGTCTCCTTCGCTTTTTAGTTGAGATGGTTGGGTTTTGATTTTCGCTTCGCCGGAAATGATGTCGAAGGCTTGCTTTGTGATTGAGATGAGGCATAATTCACGGATCTGCTCCCAAGAAGGGGATAAATGATAGGTGACAACGAGCAAGGTGTTGAGCCTGGATTCCCGAATGTTGAACGGCGTCCGTAGTCTCGTATTGCCCGTCCACGCCTCTTCGATGGAACTAATATTCTCACCGGTGAGGCTCAGCTGGGAGTATTGGGGCCGGTCAAATGTGGCCAAGACGCGCTTGACGAACAGCTCCCTATCGGTCTTCTCCATAGAACTTAAAAATGTTTGCACGTTATCTTCGGTGATGAACAGAGCGCGAAAACGGGACTCGATCGGGGCCACATGGCGGACCGCGCCGAAAGAAGAGTCAAGGTCTTTAAAGGCATCTTGTAAATCATCTCGATGCTCCTGGGGCTCCCCGAATATGTCCTCATCCATTTTGTCATACCCATGAATACTTTGAGTCGAAAAAACAAATGTTTCAGAAGCAACTGTAGATACGTCGCGAGCAGGGCTCGACAAGATACGCAGTTCGGTGATGATGGAAGCGCGGTATACATCTCTAGCCCAGTCAGCGATGAAGTCTACAATCAAAAATAGCTGCAGCGCCGCGTCAAGATTAGATGTACAGCCCGTCCAAACAGGTGCGATAATCTAGCATCAAGTTAGTCATGCCGGCCCTGCCGAATAGTCCACCAACTTCAGGTTCAGGGAGCATTACTGTTTTGGTTGTCAGGGGAGATTGAGATGCAGCGGCGTCCACCCGGCTTTGATATGCGAGGAACAGTCTCCAATCATCTCCCCTACTTGCAAAGAACCATACCAACGGCCCTGAATCCCATCTGCACCTTGAGCCTGTAGCAGCACGCAGACTTTGCTGAGTTTGCAAGTATGTGTAGATTGGGAAAGCAGTCTGAAGCTTGATATCGTGCCATTCGTCCGCAGCGTTTCCAGCCTTGGCTTCTACGACCATGAATGGGAATAAGAGAGCTTCACCCACGGTGGAATGGGGTTGCTCTTGTAATCGGTCCTCAACAAATATGCCATTGCCGATTTTCTTCAAGAGAAGCTCATCAAATTTCCGTGTTTGCCGCAGCCCATACACTCGGTCTGGCCTTTGGTCCTGTGGTAATTCTTCAGCCAAACTGTGCGGATGCACCACCATGTCGTCGGCTCGGTCAATGAAGAGTTTATTCAACCCCACCATCTCTTCTCTAGATTGCAGAAACATGAGCGTTCGTAGCGTTGAGAATTGTACATCAGTTGTAGTTTGGCACTCACTCGCCGTCTGGCCGAGAGCTCATGGGGCAACGGCAACGCTCACGCTGTTGCTGCCGTTTTCTCAAGCTGGACGAGGCCCTGTTGTTGTCGTCCAGAGAGGACTCTATCTCAGACCGCCAGACTCTCTGACGGCATGTTTGGCTAAACACCACAGTCAGTCAGCCGGGCACTGGTGAGGATGTGGATGTGGGTGAATTGAGAGTATAATACCATGCCACTTCGGCAGCCAGACGGTTGAAGACAAGTGACTCGCAGGCTAACCTCCACGTCGCCTCATTCCGCGACACGCAGTCCTTGGACTTAGCGACAAGCTTCTTTGCTTGTCGTTTCGCGTCGTTCTTCCATGGCTTTGTGGTGATTTCGTCTTGGCTAGCCTGGTACGTGCTGTATCTATATGACTTGGCAGTCTCAATTGCCTCCAACACGTTGCGGTGACCCTCGGGCCATTGGTCGCTCGTCAGCTCAGAGGAAAACACGATGCGGTGGCGCCTCCGAAGCTTCTCGAAAATCTCGTGATTCTTCCTCGATAGAGGCATCTTGGCACATCGTACAGCCCATCAGCTCTACCCGAGATCGTGTTTCGTGGTCGTGGGCACCGAGCACGATCGTGAACGCGAAATCAACGTAGAGTGGATTTGAGCGAGACAGAAGAAAAGGAGCAGTCTGACAATGAGTGGCGCAGCTCCAGGCTTCAGCGCCAACTGGAATCTCACTGCATGTGGCTGTGCAAATTGACCTATTCTTAGCTGCTGAATCAATCACCAACACACTACCCTAGAGGGAGGCGTCCAGTAGTTTGGCCTGCTTGACCAAACCTCGGGTATCTCACTTCTATGCGCTGATTATCTAAAAATGATCTATACAAGTAGTGGATCTAACGGTAAGCCAAATCGTTTCTTTTTAAAGATATAATCATCTCTAGAAAGCTAAAGAGAGCAATTTTAGCCTGTGGTTGGGTAGCATTGTAATCGAAGCCCTGACTCAAAGGATCCAGGCTGAGAAGCTGACTCGCAACCACTAGAAATTACACACTCAGGCCAAATCTACTTAACTACCACGGCTTATGAATTGTTTTCGTTTATCGGGACATACAGCTGTCAAAATGGAGCGTTTTTTTCTTATATCCAAAAGACTTGAGACATAGCTAGTTGGGAGACACTGCACCTACGCGAAGATAATAGAATTCTTTTTTTTTTTAAATTTTTTTTTGGTTGAAACCCATGTCCCGGGGATAGCGCTGTAGTTTTGAGAGAAAGAGAGAGAGGAATAAAAAACAAGCATTGTATTGAACAAATCTAGTCGGCTGATTTCCACGTCTTGATCGTCTTTGTCAAGTTCTCTAGAGCCGCGCGAATGACAATTGCCGAAATACAGAGGCCACCCACTGAATCACCTATACCGTATGTCTAATCTTCATTTCCAAAAGATCCAACTCAAATCTAGCCCCTGAGCATTGCTGCTTTAACCTGAGCGTTCCCAGATATACCCCGGCCGAAGGTGATAGGTACAAGCTAACAACCTGCGCTCGTGGGGCGTGTGATTATCACCAATGTTTTCTTGGCATCAATCACGAATCCTAAGGCCACGTCATAGAATACCTAACAGGGCTTACTTGGTCCGCTCTATTTCGGGGTTTCCGCAAAGCCCCTCTCCCGCATAGCGATCAGTATTAGCGAAGGACGTGAGCATATATGATTTCTCATAAAATAGATTAACGTAATATACAAAATTAGATCTTAAGGGGGGTGTTCTAGGCTAATGTATCTCAATCAGAAACATGTTGATACTCACACTTTTCTCTTATAAAATTCAAAAAACTTTCTACACCTAACAAGTCTGTAGTATAGCCACGCGCTTATCTACCGTAAGTGATGAAAGTGAGTATAGTTCAAATGATTTGGCACGTCGTCGACTTATCTCTTTCGGCATCTCTATACTACGAAGAACAGCCCCATCTGACTTCAGATAGTAGATTTTACATATCGCGGATACAAGATCAATCTAGTGTTACGAATTTCATTGTTACGCACGAGTCACGTGTGGAACCCCACCCTTTTTCAACCAATTAGGCATGGATCATTGGGATCTCGCGATGATCCTCATGATCCAGGAATACGGATCATCGCCAAGCATCAATGATCCCCTAATATATATACACATTCATTTCATTAGCTAGAAACACTCTCTTAGACAGTTATCAATACAATCGCTACCGCCTTTATTGAAACTAGCTCCTTAGTACTCGCACATCTGCAGTGACTCGCACAGCACCAAGACAACCTTATCGCGCCACTCAGAACACCTCTGATTGGTTACACTCTGGCCTACCCTAGACCCCGTCCAGTGTAAGTCATCCAACCGTCACATCTAGGAGCTGACTAACGGAAAATGACGGACCAAACACGAGCCTATATCACCAGGGTATTCCCACCACTAATTAGATGCTCACTTTAGTATTATCCTACCTACAATTTTATCAGATTCTATATTATTAGAGTTAACTCATTACACTAATAATAAATGGAGCGCGCTCTCACTGGTTGTTGTTCATAGTTAGCTACGTAGCTATATAGCCTATCACTGTTAAGGATCAACATGTATCATAAAGAGTTAGGTGATATACTCTACTTTTTGCTCCTCCACCTAGCTTGTTTCCGTATATTTTCCACCGCCCCATCTCACTTGTCCCACTAAAGCTGATTCCGACCTTTGAAATATGTTAGTACCTATTAAACCCGATTCTTCTGATTATTTTCTCATTGGCTAAATCGGCAAAAGTGAATTTTCAGCTCATAGCTAAAATCTGCTCCTTTATTAGGAATCAAACAACGATATCGCTAGACTTTTATCTACTATACAGTATGTACTATGTATACATAGGGTCTATAGTTTGAAGTATAAACTGCTCCTTCTTCACAGAGATCTCCAAAATATAAATTAATTCTCTACTTACATAGTGCTACTGTACAGTATTTGCTGGAAAATACATACAGTATCGTAAATATTATTATCTAAGTATTTTAATAGAGGCTACTTTTAGACATATAATAAACTACTTTACTTATAGGCTTATACCTCCCTTAAGGTACTGGTACTAGTTAATCTAATAAAGCCTAATTCTTGCTCTCTTATTAATTTCTACCCCCCTAGAATATTTAAATCTCTCTTCAGTCGCTATACTAAATTATATATTATCTTTCGCTCTAAATTACTATATATAATATGATTAATCAAAATAAGCTCCGCTTTATTTTACCTCAAGAACTCCTTGATAAAATAGCAAACTATTTTCCCCCAGCTTCTAGATTGAAACACATCGAAGAAGCTAAAAAAAGGGAGAGAGCATCGCCACTAGGGAACTGGATCTGGCACCTTTTCTTTAAGCCTATACAGGAAGTTAATAACCATTGGTTTATTATAATTAAACAGCTTAACGAGACAAACAAAGACGTTGATTATTATCACGGTGCACTCCTTACCTTGCTAGGGTCAGACTTACGAAAAATTAATAGTGGTCAAAATGAAATAAAACTAGCCCTTTTGCAGAGTGATTATTCTGGAGATCTCATTCATATGAAGAAATTCTTTTTCAGCTCACTACGTGATTATGAGTTCAATAAAGAGACTTATGAGTTAACGTTTCCCGAAACTGGAATTATTCTGAATATAAGTGAGCTTTACGGGTCTGAGGCGGTAATGGTAACCGAGCCCAAAGCTTATTTTAATTGGGAAAAAGGTCGGCTGACGACATATGCACTTTACCATGGGGATCGATCTATTACTAAAATCAATAATATTGATGGTATAAGAGGAAAGAAGAAATGGAGCATAAAAGGGAAAAAGAAATGGAAGATAATTCAGAATATGTGCACTGTAAGGCTCAAATTCGCAGATGGTACAGCATATGTTGCAATGCTTCAAAACCAAGAAAATAATCTACGCCCAGTTGAGCATTACGAGACTGATATAGATGGTAGAAAACTGGTAACTGGTTGGAGGGTAGATTCCTAGGGTATAAGATTGAAAATCAGAGGGCTTAGAATCGGCGTACTTGGGAGATATCTGGGACCTAACTAACCAAAGTCGGAGGCGATTCGTAGGAGATTGGATATAGCGGCAGCAACTAGTGGGGCTCGAGGAACGGAGTGAAGGAAGACGCGATAGAGAGAAACATAGTGTACCTGCAGGAGGACTTATTCTTCAATATTAGTTCGGATCTCAAGCTTCCTTTTCAGAAGTGAGGAATTAGTATATTGTCACCAGTGGCCTAAATGCTCCTCGCTTGTGACACTTAGTTGCATTTACAGCTATACAACGTTGCACCCTCCTTGCAACACCACCCAGCACTGACAGGTCTCGAAATACTAAAGGTTTAGAAGAACTGTTACTATCACCTGTAGATAGGTTGTTGATAACGAAATCGACGCAAGTAGTCTGAAAGAAAAAGAGGCACCTTGTGGTTTTAAAATGATTAATTACTTGATCAGCTCAGTATAGTTATATTAGGCTACCAATCCTCACGATCTATCGCAAAATATCCTCTCTCACCTCTGGCCAATATTACCACGGGTGCTGCCTAGGCCTGAGGAGTGGTTTTGTCATTCAATTAACAAGACCCTAGCTTCTAGGTAAAGTACACGTGAGAAAATAAATTTACTCAAGCGTCCTAGTAGCTGGGCCTGCCACGGGAGCTATTTCGGGCAGGTTCCCAGAGGAGCAAGTCAAGCAAAAAATGTTGAAAAGATTCTCATCATCGAGAAAGCTATCTTTCCCAATATTCCCATCTATAATTTGTCCATGGGAGAATGTTGGCGGAGCAAGATTTTGGGATAACTCTGTTATTTCTGTTGCGCTCATCCGGCTGCAAAGAAATCTACTGCTGCATTTTTCTTGCCCCAAAGCTTGTTGAAGAATATGAACGTTCTTGCTAAGAGAGTCGAGACGAGTACCTAGCTGTTCCAATTGCAAGCGTTGTTCATTGATTTGTACTGATTGCCTATCGACTTTTTGGGCAAGGGCCTTTGTGGTCTCACGGGTCCGCGCCCGGCGTTGGGTTCTATTTGGACCAACCGGATTATCAGCATTAGTTTGAGCACGTGTCGTTCCGCTCTCCATGGTGACAGATGTAGTGTGCGTGGCTGGCAATGCCGTTCGTGGATCTTCCTCTCTACTGAATTGTTCCAACATAGAGCCTAGTTATTGTAGCATCGCTATTTGGTTTTGGCGGCCAAATACGCAAGAGATCATTTAGCCGGTTTCGGCCATGCGTCTAAATTTGTGCACCTATGTTGCACTTTGGGATAGTATCTGCAAAAACCGAGTCAAAGTCGTTCACAGCCAGTATCTGCTCCATTTCTATACATCTGGGCCTCTGAAGCTAAATGAAAGATGATGTCATATATAGTGCAGATCCCCCGTGCGCTAACAACTAGTTTCAGCTCACCGAGGCCCCTGCGCACGGTATATTGGCTTGACGTTACAGTATGTAATTGTAACTATGTAATGATGGAGATAGGCCTGCAGCATAGGGCCGTGCTGAGCTAAAATTGGCTGTGATTTTTGGTTGTCTCCGGTATTGGATGTTTTTTTTTTTCGTTGAACCCCATACTCAAATGAACAATGGAGAAGAAAAAGAAAAGCAGATTAATATGTAATTGTTTCGTACTTTCCAGCTCCAGGCTGATCAAGGTATGTAGCTTCCAATAGAATCTCAGATACGCTAAGAGTGTTAAGGATAAGTCAGTTATCCAATTGGCTCCTGAATAAAAGCTCGATATAGGGTTGACTGAAACGAGTGTCCATTTTTTCCCCTCCAAGTAGCATTGTAATGATTATTAGCTACATGTAGCTAACACAGTGCTTATACAGTACTATCCTCCATATAGTTGGGGTAGGTAGGGAGGCCGGCTAATTTAGGCCCTCCAAGTAATCCAAGCACTTTGGCCAAGCGCGAGTCGACCAACCCAGTGAGTACCATTAGCCCCTTGGTCAGAGCACTTGCACTAGCAGTTCTCGGTTCATACCGGTGGCACTGACACGGAGAGAGGAAGGGCTAAGAGGAGATACTATTAATAGAAATGCTTTTAAGCTTTGAAAACACAGTGGAAGAGGACACAGTGGTTGCTCCTCATGGATCATGCAAGCTTCTATAGGGTATTATAACTAAAGGATTTATATTCTATTGTAGGTATAGAAATTTCTCTTCCTCCTACCTTATTCCCTGGCTTTAAACCCTATAGAAGAGCATTTTGGTGAAGTGAAGGATTTGATATGATCATTCTCTCCTTCGATTGGAACATCACCACTTGCCCCGGTGGTTAGAGGCTCTACAAAAGGTAGTAACTCAAGAGGCTGAGCAGGTAATATTTGAGTAAGCATAGTCGAAGGCTGCCAGATACCCTATCATTTGGATAACAGCGGTGTAGACCACCAGGATATGCATAAATGAGTGGGAGCTATATATATTGAATTTTCTAGGCCACTAACTTTCAGGAAACCTTATCTTTTGAATCGTATGTATTAGAATCAATTCTTCTCCAGTCTGGGCAAAATTGGAGGCTTACTGTATAAAGCGCGGTTCCAGATAGAAGGCAGCCTATCTTTGCTACTATAGTATAGGTGAAGGCTTTTTTGTTCATCAGGTCTAGCCCGAATATATCGAGCCTATGAATCAGGGGCGCTACAATGGATATGCCAGTCGCTATAAACGCTAGTGTTCGCTTGGAGCGATACTTGTAGCTCTGAAGCTTGGGATGGATGTTCGCGATGATGGTCAATATCCCGAAAACCCCAATCTATTGACCGATGGTATTAGATCCGGTTATTAGTACTAGGACAGAAAGTGAACTAACCATAGACTAATTATATACTCCCAAGATTATATCACCAACTATAAAGATCCCTATACCGAGTATATCTAGTCGGTAGTAGAAATAGTCTACGGTATAAGAGTGGTTTATCAAAGTATAATAAAGAGCTGAAAATGTATAGCAAATAGTTGCTGTAAGTATGAAGAATGAGAAAGCAATAAAATTACTGCCAGTAACTCTGGAATATTTGCTAGCAAGGTACTGCAAGATATACCACTCGCCGAGGAGGAAGACAATAGCCGGAATGAGATAGGAATAAATATTGACCGTCTCGTTGTGGAGATACTACTAACTGCGAAATGAGGCGAGAATCGAGCCCGATATGGGCCGGTAACCGTGAAGAACCCACGGGTTGTTGTCCTGTTGGAACCATGGCGGCATCGCATCGAACGGAAGAAGAGTCGTATGTCCTGCCTCACCAAACCCGGACCCGGATGCGTCGTCTTCCATTCCCTGCCCTCTGCGGGCCTCTGACTTCTTGGGCGGAACTCGGAGACGGGGAGCGGATGCCATTTATATATATACAACAAGTAACAAAGTGTCCTTTTGGTATAGTCAAATGACTCAAACGGACAAGGCCCTTCTACTAGCTATTGTGTCTGATGTTTTGTCGGATATTTTATGTTTATGAGGAGGAAGCTGGTTATGCTTATCTTTAATAGTAGATTGAACCGCGATGAGCAGTACAAAAAAACACTGCTAGGGTAATTAACATAGCAGGGAGACGGTTATTGGAAGCAGCGACTCTAAGTATAATATCATCAAGCACCGCTATAGAGACTGGCGTACTAGAAGCAGGTTATAGCAGTCAAATTGGCCATGCTCGTGACCTTGATATGTAAATAGAAAATAATAAATAATTGTTTATATGTACATACAGTTTGGAGCATAACCAGCTTCCTCTTTTTAAACATACTCTGAATATCAACTGATACTCCACATAGTGCTATTTGCCACAAAAATGCACTTTATACAAAATCTACATAAATTGAGACTTAGAGCCAAAGCAGTTCTTTGTTCCATTTCTTAGACTTAGCCTACAAATGGGCACCCCCCATATCACAGCCCACTCTAGAACCGCAGCCAAGGTTACCCAAGGTTTAGTTAAGACCCTTCAGGATACTATTTTATATATATATATAATCTTGAGAATCGGACTATTAATTTAGTCTAGAGCTATGTATTTCGGGCTATATAGTTATGATACTGCACTGAGATAAATGCATCTTAGAGTAGATGCTAATAACTGCTAAACTAAAATTAATACGCCACGTGTACAATATTCACTTTTGCTAACTATCTAGAGCTAAAACTAATGATTGTGTACGTGGATGATCTACTCCTAGTTTTATCCCTCTGAGGCGAATGCACGTTTGCATTAAGTCTATAGCTTTAGTTTTCTTCTCTATAGAAATCCAAGTATGAGCTAAGTTATTTATACTCATTAGTGTATAAGGATAGTCTGCTCCAAGTTTCATCTTACTTATTTCCATCACCTGCACCTGCAGCTTCTCTGCCTCCTCCCACCAGCCTTAATTAGTATATATTAATGTAAGATTGCCTATACTTATTAGTGTATTAGGATGGTCTGCTCTAAGCTTTATCTTATGAGTCTCTATCACCTGTACCCTAAGCTTCTCTGCCTCCTCCTACTAGCCTTAATTCTAATATATTGATGTAAGATTGGCTATACCCGTTAGTGTAGAGGGATGGTCTGCTCTAAGCTTCGTCTGAAGAGTCTCTATTACCTGCACCTGAAGCTTCTCTGCCTCCTCCTACTGACCTTAATTCCTATATGTTGATGTAAGATTGCCTATACCTATTAGTGTAGAGGGATAGTCTGCTCTAAGCTTCATCTAAAGAGTATCTATTACCTGTACCTGAAGCTTCTCTGCCTCCTCCTACTGGCCTTGATTCTAATATATTAATGCAAGATTGCCCATACTCGTTAGTGTATTAGGGTGGTCTGCTCCAAGCTTTATCTTATAAGTCTCTATCACCTGCACCTTAAGATTCTCTGCCTCCTCCTACTAGCCTTGATTCTAATATGTTGATATAAGATTGGCTATACCCGTCAGTGTAGAGGGATGGTCTGCTCCAAGCTTTATCTGAAGAGTCTCTATCACCTGCACCTTAAGCTTCTCTGCCTCCTCCTACTGGCCTTGATTCTAATATATTAATGTAAGATTCCCTATACTAGTATGCCCTTTACCTTCTTCTTCCTTAAATATCTTAGTAGCCTTAATTTGATGCTGCTCTGCTGTATCCTATTGCCCTTGATAACTAAAATACCCTCCTATATAATATAAGAGTTTAGCCCTTGTGATCCTTTTATCCTTCTTACTTTCCGCATTATGTTTTAGTACGGTATACGCATGAGGTAGTAATCTTAGGTATTTATCATAGGTCTTAAACTAGCTGAATGGGTAGGTATCTAATACTATTTTTAGGGCTAGTTAAGTGAAATTCTTACTTTTGATGTGAAGCTACTTTCGCGTCACTAGTTATACTAGGCGGTGTATGTTTATATTCCGACCTTTATCCTCTGAAATAAAGGAAAAAGCCTTTAGAGTGCTAAGTGCCTTCGTAAGTGCTGCTGATTTAATGGGATCTCTATCTTTGGGCTGCCTGCGGCTATAGTAGTCCTTGATAAATTCCCTTGGAATTGCTTACTAATAAAAGAAGCTTATAAAAGAAAGAATATTACTCTTAAACGGATTTCTTCGCTAGATCTAATTAAACGATAGAATCTAAGTTGCTATAACTGTATGTGGTGTCTTTGAATCTCTCCTAACTACTTTAAATAGTTCACTTAGATAGTTAATAAAGGCTGAGTCACTCTTGTCTAAGAGCTAGATATATTTACTTAAAGGAATTTCATTCTCTTAGATAAATGCTGCCGCCTATATAAGAGCGAGTGATAAATATTTAAGCCTAGATGAGAGAAGAGATATCTCATCTGCTGAAATCTCCTCGTCCTCTAAGATTATATATAGTAGCAAGTGTGCTTTATTATTATTTATACTACCGACCTTAATTAGAAGCTTTCCTTAGGCTAGCTGTGACCCTGTCTTCTTATTCCTAGTTGTAATAATAACTGACCTATGCTTGCACTCTAGGATATAGTGAGTAAGACTATAATCTATGTGTGTTTCTGCTGTGTTTATTTTTAATGACCCTTCCTCTAGTTAATCCTAGAAGAATAACTCTATATTATTAGCGTTATCGATGATTATTAGCCACTGAGTTTTGTATTTTTTCTCTAGCTATCCCTAAACTAGTAATAGGAAATTAGCTTTTAGATTATTATATCTAGGTATATTATATTCTTTTGCAATAGAAGCGTATACCTAATAAAAATATTCCGCGTTACTAGCATAAACCTAAAATATTACTATCTCTAGATGTTGTTTTTGGAGCTAGTAAATATAGGCTAATATAATCTAAGTTTTATTATAATTATATTAGTTGATATTCTAGAAAGATGAAAGAAAATATACCTAATACTACTAAGACTATAAAGTGCTACCCTTATACGTGGCTCTGCCGATCTTTACGGCTGACCTAAGCCTAGTTATTGCTTAAGTGTGTCCAGGATACTAGATCTCTTAACAAAATCTGGATTTTGATTGTACGGGACTAAGACTAGATTTTCTTAGTAAAAGCTATAATGAAATCTTCTATTACATATATATAGTCCTCGCCTGAATGCGATCGCATACTATTAAAGCTCGCTGAGTAAGACCCCTAAGCCTATCATGAACGTTGGTATATTCGTGATCTTGAGGCCTAAATTTAACCATGTTAGAATACGTGCGAGTGATCGCGTAGATATACTCTGCACTGTTTTCCTAAGGATAGCAATGTGTAGCTAAAGATTTAGTAACTAATACCATAGGCGGCCCTTTTATCTCCCAGCTACTATTTTTAGCCTATCCTAGTTAGTAATTACTTCTTCTTAGATAGCCTATTATATACCTTTTGTGCTATTAGCGACTTAAGCGTTTTATAGAAAGTGAAAACCTCTAAATAATCCTTATCGCCTAATGTAGTAGGAAACTCTCTTTATTGAATTGTGAGTATCTGCGAGTTAATATAACTAATAGACTCGACTAGGAACCAGTTTAGCCTATCCCTAACTATTGGGATAAGTAAGTTAATGTCTATGCTATTGTGTGGGACCCTAAAGAAGATAATCCTATAAATAGCCCTAATAAGGTTTTAATCGCCCTTATTCTTTGACTTAGATAGGGCTACTAAGGCCTATAATATATATTATTAGTATATATAAAAGACCTATATATATATATTATTTTACCTACTTTATGATTAGGCCGCCTAGGCTGTGGGCGATAAGGATGATCGGTCTCATTAATAGAGCAGTCGCTAGTGTATAGAGACTGCTGTGAAACGTGGTGGCGAGATCCTCTATATTTTATATATTCTCACTCTCTGCGATACCTAATTTATATCTATAGGTTATGACCCGTGCTATGGGCTGACTAGTCTCCTCCTAGGTGATATTATAGGGGAGAGAATCGTGTAACTATATATGATCCCCGCCTCTCTCTTTGAATGACCTGAAAGCATGGCTGCTAAGACCTAATAATGTAATAATACTAATAGAATTAGTAGGGAAACTTTTAATTTTCTAGCGACCAGTCTACTCACTCGATTTTATGGATATTAGGTGGTAGTGTATAGAGTATGGTAATACCTAGAAAGGCCTTATTAACTATTAAGTATTGATCGCTAGTGAGGGGGCTATCTGAAGACTTGGGTAATACTATCCGCTTGCTCTGGCGGCTTTCTAAGGAGAGCAGGGGGTTATAGAAGGCTACTGTAGCCGTCTGGGAGTGGCTGTGGATGTCGCGGGCGAGGGACTTGATAGTTGGGATGGAGCTCTTCTTCTCTGTGAGGAAGGATGTAAGTTATTCTAAATCCTAGTTAACGGGCACACTGACGACCTGGAATGTATCGCAATCTTTCGGTGGTTTTTTGCTTATAGGCGTCTCCTTGTTCGTATGCGCGTCCTCTAGTATCAGTCGTGCGTGACCTTTAAGAACCTAGCGCCATATGAATACCGTGAGGATCGCGATGGCAGCTAGAAGGCTAATCTAACTAGGTGAATCTATTATTTTAATAACGTTGAGCGCGCTCTAGGCTTATATGAGTGACTGGGGTTTATTTAAAGGCAGATGCTAGTATAATGTCCTGCTGCTGTTGGATATAGGGGAAGTTTGGCAGATATTATACTTATATGTGTAGGGCGAATACTGTATAGTAATGAGAGTCAATGGAAGCAGAGGTGAAATAGCAGGAGAGAGGGGAAGGGGGGGTGAAATGGCAGGAGAGAGGGGAAGGGGGGGTAAGGCGACCGGCTGCCTCTCGGATTGCGGCTGAAATAGCAGATGAATAAGTATGTAAACTATATAAAAAAGATGATAGCCACCACCCGCGACCTTGAATCTAAGCCGTGAAGTAGAGTGAGTGAGATCTATATAGAAGAAATCAAAGTAACTGATGCTATTTTCTTATATGGCAACCGTCCTGGCCTTTTATTATGAAGGATGGTCTTGATAGTAAGGCTTGATCGGGTATTTAGTAGAGACTGGTTCGCGAACCTTATGGATGACTAAGACGTACATAGACTGACGCCCTATCGCTGCGCAGATGATGTAATCAATTAGCTAGCCTGGCAACTGAGGTCGGATGTACCTAACCACTTGCTAAAGGTATTGGAATTTCACGCTAACACTATAGGCAGAATCGTTCCTACCTTAGTACTTAGTCTACTTTAAGAAACTTTCTTGCTAGCTATTAATGGACATTTCTAATACTATAAAATAGTGGGATATGTACACTAAGGTATTTTTAGGTACTCCCTCTTCTCAAAAATAAGTACAAAGACAATAGAGCGGAAGCTGGTTATGCTCCAAACTGTAACTTATCATGGAGTTATAAAAGTATGTACAGGGTTGACCGAAAGGAGTGTCCGCTTTCTTGTTTAGTAATATATTAAAAAAGGCTGTTTTTGGGCGAGGTGTGGCTAACCTATAGTGCGAATAAAAATATAACACAGTAATAGTAAAGTCACACTTCTGTTGATCCATAATGAGTTATAGGCCTTCCTTTGTTACTTGCTATATATATATTAAGGCTAGTAACTGGGCCTAAATGACTTCTAATAACTTGGGTCTAGTACGCTAGCTCTATTATGGCCGCGCTTGAATTAAGAATCGCTACTTGATGCTATCCCTCTACTACCTTGACTTCTTGGCAATTTTTTGCTTTTAATTTACTGCTTTTTGTAGTTGCTTTTTATTTTACTAATATAGGTACCTAACTGAACTAAAACCTATACTAAGATATAAAACCTAAACCTTTGCACTTAGAATGGACTTAGGTTAGTTGATTTCGTTTGTTCCTCTTGAGCCCTACTTTATTGGTTGTTGGTTGTTGTAATGTTGGTTGTTGTTGCAAGAGTGCGTTATGGAAGGTCTTGGAAGGTCTTGGAAAGTCTAAGAACTAGGAAGTGGGCCTGGTTGTCTTTGTTGTGCACCCCGGTTTAATTGGCAATGGGTATGTTTATTCTCTGCTCGTCTAGCTTGGCTGAGAGTTTGCAACCTATATAACTCTAGTTTGCTACTATGAGTAATGCTCTTCTGGATGATTCTAGCTAGTGGCTGGATGATGGTGATGACTTCGATGTCTCGGCTCTTATAGCTGCTGAGAGTTAAGGTTATGCGCTAAGCTAACGCTCTTCCAAATGTCCTGCCTATACTATAAACTGGACGCTGTGTTTAAAAAAAACCCGACTAAATAAGCTTATAGGAAATGTAGTATAGAATATCTAAGACTATCCCAGCGTTTATTGGGAGACTAGCCTAGGCTTAGAGATTGACGCGATAGTGAGAGAAAAGGGTTTAGGAAATAACTATGAGCCTGATGAAACTTAAATCACTATGATGATTAATGTGTGAGGCGAAGACGATGTCCTGAAACGGTATATAGGTCTTAATATTAGATGGAGCTAAATCGATGACTAAATTGAAAGCTGGTCTGACCTTGTATATAAGGGGAGGAAGCTTACTGTTAAGATTATCTTTATATATAAGGAGATAGGTCAGCATATAGTAGCGAAGCGTAGCGGAAGAAGTGCAATAGCAGCTTAACTTAATGAGAGAGCGTCTATCTAGAACTATGAAGGTTCTATAGATGAGGTACCAATGTGGGAATGCGTATACGACCTCCTTGAATGTCCTGGAGCTGGTTGTGATGTAGGTCTATACTGCTGGCGTAATCCAGATACTGGCACTCGCCATGTAGTAGTAATTAATATCTTGTTGAAAATTGTCGACTATGTTGAAAAGGGCGGTAAATTTAATGAGTATAGCGACCTTCTGAAATACTATTGGAACGAAATTCTGAATCCACTAATAAAGCGGAAGTAGGGCGATGTGCTATAGATTAATATTACTAATGTGATACCCGGGGCTAAGTTAGCACCTCTAGCTAAGAAGGTTAAGATTGAAGGCTATTGGGATAACGCTGTGTGCTAGTATCGCGATTGGCATTGTAGCTAGGTGGGCGATGAGAGCTGGAAAAAGGATTTCTATGCTATTGCTGATCTCACATTGCGGGCACGACTTACTCTTAAGCGGATCTTTGAGGTATAGGAGGAAGAAATTTAGTTTTTTATATTTAATAAGATCCCTTGTGGTATTGCGCACTAGTGGGTTAGTATGGTGGATAAGTGGCCTGATAGTGAGTAAGTTTAGTTTCCTGATTTAGATATGTAAATGTATCTTGAGTTACTGAATTGGATATTCTACTGTAATTCCTGAATGACTAAAGTGACCCTCTGCACTGGCCTGTTTGATCCTAACTTAATGTATATACCACTTAAGGAATATTGTAAATGGAAGACCTTTGGTGTTTTGTTTATACTACTCCCTTCTTATATAATCCTTTACCTCGCTAAAATGCTCTTCTATAGGGTTTAAATCTGGGGAGTAAGGTGGGAGGAAAAGAATCTCTATGCCTATAGGAGAATATAAGTCCCTTAGGTGTGATGCCCTATGGAAGCTGGTATTATCTATAATGAGAATAGACTTGGGCTGCGGGAAACTGCTATAATGGTGAAGCAACTGTTTGATGAAGTCCTTAAATATAATATGGTCTATTGAACCTCGAAAAATGCGCGAAAGCATTACGCCTTCTTGAGTATATGTAGTAATAAATTGATGCCTCTTCCCCTGTTTAAACTCTGCTGTATGGACTGGGGTTATTCCTATAGGAGCCTAGCCTTTACGCCGTTGCACTATTGAAGTATCGCAACCGGACTCATTAATGAATATAAGGTGATAGGACTTATATTTCGCTAATTTATAATAGTATAGATGCTGTAGTAATGAGTTCCTTTGGTTCGCAACCTGATGAGTTGACTTGTTAGACTATCTCTTAGTTTGTAAAGCATGAGTGATGCTACTGAGTGATATATCTACCTTATATTTAAGCTGTAGGAATAGTTTTATTTCCTCGCGATATATACACGGCCTCTTTATTAGTTTATAGTATAATGCTTCTAGTATATATGATGATATGCTTTAATGGCGTCTGGTCCTATTCGGTGGCGGTTGTGTGGCTCTAAAACGATGTAGATTTGAGCGTATTTGACGGATAGCGCGCTCGCTATATTCGACTTTCCTTGTAATTTTTCTGGTTGATTTTTCGCTATATAGCAGAGCCTTAATCTGCTTGTGTTTAGAGTTAGTTAGTTGTTGTGCCATTGGTGCTGTTCGGTAGAGTTTGGGAAGAGCTGAAATCGGCCAGAAAGAAGGAGGGAATGGGGAAATTAAGACTGGGGGGGTTGATGAGTACCTGAACTACTAGTCCTTGATTCTGTAGCATAATGAAGCTATTTTTAGACTAGCTCGTGAATATATGGAAGACCGTAGGCACACTGTGTTAGCCATATGTGGCTGATTATGGCACTAAGAATTATAATGTTCATTAAAGAGAAAAAGCGGACACTCCTTTCGGTCAACCCTGTAATATAGCTCTTACTGTATTATATTTTTATCCGCACTATAGTGCGCTATACCTTATCTAAAAATAGCTGTTGTTTAAAGTGTTATTAAAGAAAAAAGCGGATACTTATTTCGGTTAACTCTGTATATATAATATATAGTACTATAAGCACGCTTAATCAAAAAATAGAGCTCTTTTCAGCTTCTTACAGCTTGGTAAAATTAGGAAGGTAACTTTATCTTGGTTGACCCTGGGTAAGTTCTATAGTATAGTATATATATCGGTAAAATTAAGCTTACTAATTGATTTATAGTATTAAACGCCTATTTCGTTGGTTTTACTTATAACTAGCTATATATAGGTATGGTATGGATAATACAGTATTAAAATAGTTATTACTGCACATATATTAAAGTTCCCAGATAACTAGTTTGCTGCTCAGCTTTCAAAATGCTTAAAACTAAACTATTGATTTGTACAGTGTTACATTTATCTGTAACCGCATTTTCTGGTGAAATGACCTACTTCTACCCGGGCCTCGGTGCGTGCGGCATAGTCCATGGTGATAGCGACGCCGTCGTCGCCCTCTCTGCTCTCGACTTTGGCAATGATATCAATCCTAACAAAGCAGCAGTCTGTGGAAAATGGATCAAGATATCCCATGCTAATGGAAACTCTGTCCGCGCTCCAATCTGGGATAAGTGTCCTGAATGTCTTAGCGGCTCCATCGATGTCTCTCCGAGTGTTTTTCAACAGATTATCGGCCTCTCCGTTGGCCGTACGGATGTCACATGGGAATTCGAAGATATACCTAGCAAGAGCACCGACTCTGTTGCCTTTAATTCTATTAATAACATGGCCATTAGTACTATTACCGTAACTGTTACTGTTACCGCGTAGACTGAGGGAACCTGCTATGGGATAATGCTAATATACTTCCGAATAGAGCGATAACCTCGGGGGGAGGAGATGGACGGAGCCGCTAATATTATAATATCTGTACCTATATAACAGATAGTATGAATATATAGCCATGATTCTATATCTAGATTCAGTCGTGTTTTTTCCTCTTATAGATAGCTTT